TTAAAAAAATAAGATCTAAATTTACGTTTCCTTTAATTAATTTTTTTTCATTAAAGGTAATAATATACTTAATAAAACAAAACTTTATATAGCTGGTTGATAAAAATTTAAAGCAAAACTAAAATAAAAAATAACAATGTGTTTACGCATTATTATGTGTAAGATGTGGGAACCCTTTTAAGTTAAAAAAATACCTGTATCAGGGTTCCCAGCTCTTCCATAACATATACTACTACTTTGCAAAATTTTAGATGTACATATATTATGTTTATATTAATACAACTGTGCCAGACTTCTATGTCGTGCATTACTGAAAGCATTCTCACGGGTTGACATAAAAATCGTAAATTAATATTTGTGATAATGAATTTAAAAACGATTATAAGGGTTTTGCAGACTCGTGATTTGCAAGCTTTTACCTACGTAATTCTTCATTATTATTTTAATAATCGTGTTATTATTGCGATTTGAAATTTGTGTAATTTGTGATATAAAATTGCCCTCTTCAAAGCTTATTTTTATCTAAAGCTAATAATAAAATGACAATGAAATGCCCAAATTAAAACGAATTTTATTATATATAAAAATTTTCAACTACATAAATGAAAATATGAAATTGTATATTTACAAATAGTTTTGCATACAAACGTCGCGGAAGCTTCCTTCAGCTTCATACAATGGCCCTTCCGTGCGGAAATGCATTGTGCTCAGCCCACACTCGGCCCACTTTTGCGTTTGAAGTCCAATGACGCCGCCATTGCTGTCACTTCGACCGTGACCGGTCCATTTCCTTTCCACTCTTCAATTATCTCAGTCCATTTGTATTGTATAAGTCAAAGCCCGAATGCCTAATAGATCTATTATATGTGAAAGCTTGTTTCTCTCTTTCTACGTAATAAAATTCCGAGGATTAGGTTGTTGCAAATATTGAATAAAATAAACGGGCACAAAAAGGCCGCTACCAAAAACATGGCAATTTAATTACTCTTGTCATTTGAATGTTATTATTTTTCAATGTTTATTCTGTTTTATAACTCTTCTAAACATTTTGACAAGATTACACAAATGCAAAGGAAAATTAATTGGCGCTGCCGGGCTTCAAACACACGACCGGTGAAGAGTAGAAGTAGCCTTCTACTACTTCACTAAGCCCACATTGTGATAGCAATCACATACGCTAGTTAATTATACAGCTTGTTGAGTTAATGTAGCTTCAACAACCTTTAAATAAATGCAAGTCATAAAATGTAACCCTTCAAATCCTAGTATGAGGGTGTGCAGTTATTTAATTAATTACCTTCTAAAATAATAATATTAGCGTCTTTAATCAATTCAAAAGGGCATTAACGATACATATTAGAATGAGCCTAATAGTCTTATTTATGTGGCGACACAATACTTATAAAATTTTGGAAGGTATGGAAGAACATCCTCTACTTTCTTGTGTTCTCCAATGCAAACGCCATGCCCCATGTGGGAGTAAAAAAGCTAAGTAACTTAAGCCCAGTTGAGTAACCAGGACCAACCAAGACTGAGAACGAAGTTACTTTTTTAATTGTCTCATTGTATTACTTGAGGAGAAGACATTACAAGTGTACTTTTCGATTCGAATTTATTGTATATCTAATTCAAATAATTATTACTTTCAGCTGGAAAAACGGTGTATAGGTGTTTGGATATACCATATTTTCCGCTGTCACAATACGTCCCCGATCCATTGGATTCGACTAATGCCATACCATGTAAGTAGAGCTTTTTAACAGTAAATCTAAATGCCTCTTATAAGAACTTGACTATTAATTCACCCGTAACAGTGTAATTTCAAAACTTATATTATTAATAAACAAAATAAAACTTTTATGGAGATGACTATTATCATTATAAAGAAAAAAGGTACTTTTTTACTCCAGAACGTTTAAGCGAATTATTTGGTCATATAATATGATAGAAATTAGTACTAATCGCGTCATTAGTCACTTGTTATCATAACATAGTTATCGGCCGTTCTAGGCTTTTATATAAATAAAAAAGAAAAACGTTTTTTCAGCCTAGAAGTGGCATGCCGCTACCTCACTACGATATATATAAATTAAAGTCAAATAGGTCACCCATATAATAACATTTTAACAGGTTGCAAAACATTTCTGAATGTATTTATTATTACAGAATTTTTTTGCATAAATTGATAATGCAGATTATCTGAAAAAAGGGCAGAATTATACTGATAATAGACTAGGCAACTTTTGTAGCTAAAGCATATTTAATGAAAAAAAATATCCTTGAAAGAAAACAAAATTAATATAAAACATATTACTACTAAACAGATTTTTAAATAATTATATAGTTAAATAAAATTGTATGTAAGCTGAGACATACATACGAGATAAGATAACATTGGTTTTCTGCACTTCTACACGTATGAATGGAGCCGTAGGAGCTTTATAGCGACGCGACGAAATAATTAATTCTGGTCAAATAGAATTTAGTTATAAGTAAATAAAAAAGGTTGTTCTTAGAAATAGATTTGCTCTACGTCTAACGTCTTAATTTTTTAACAACTGCGTTGATGATGGTGGAGACCAACCTACTAGGTAGAATAGTTCTTGGATAGTACTGTACATTTTTAAAGTCTCCAAGTAACTGCTTCTAATTTTTAATTGCCTAAATCATCTATTTTGTGATACTAAAATATAACAGCAGAGCATATTGATATTTCTACCTATCATAAGATATCAAACTGTTTCAGATGTGGTAACAAGATCTGCTGCTCCATTGCTTCTTGCGGTCTTTACACAGGCTGTTGGTGCGTTGTGCTGCGTACTAGGACACTGTGTGAAAGGTCGAAGACTTTACACGTTTATTTCTGGCGTGCTTTTTATTATTTCTGGTAAATATTATAATATATATTGCGGTGCGAAAATATTTTTATCGTTTGTGTCGTGTCGTGTATCGCGACAGATTGATTTGTTTCATGTACTAATGACGACTCATTGGTCTAGTGGTTAGTACCCCTGACGAATCCATGGGTCCCAGGTTCGATCCCCGGTAGAGACGAACATCGATGTGATGAGCATTTGGTGTTGTGCTTAGGTCTTGGATGTTTAAATATGTATTTATATGTATATCTATCTATAATATGTATCTATATCCGTTGCCTAGTACCCATAACACAAGCTTAACCAGCTTAGCATGGGACTAGGTCTATTGGTGTGAATTGTCTTTAAAAAAAAAACTAATTTGAAACTCTCCAAACTATATACTTACTTCTTAATTTGCAAACAGTAAAATATAAACAAATCAAGGTTATAAGAGAGGGGTATCTCGTAATAACGCAACTAATATTTCCTTTTAATTGTTTTGTTTGCTTTAACATTGGATATTTCTCTTTACAGGTCTAATTATGCTGACTGGAATCGTAATGTACATATCGGTATTTAAGTCTCAACTGGGTCATAAGCTACGATATATGACTTACTTCGATACACCACGGATGTCCTACAGTTATGGCTACTCCTTTGGATTGTATATAGGTGGATTTGTGGCTGCTGAATTAGCAGGTACATCAGCTATATTCCTCTTTCTTCAGTGGTATCAGAAAGACTGGATAACAGAGATAGCAGAAAAGGCCAAAGCCGACTGCCGGGCTTGGGATAGGGAATATGCATTTACAGAATTCAGAGAAAGAGACACAACTCTATTAGAAAGGCGAATTATGAAAAGAGACACCTATCCACCGACGGGCTCATCTGCAGCTACACCCCGTGAGCGTCGACGCTTTGTTTATGATGGTGATGATGTGCCGCATTGTTCTATTCACAAGAACAGAAGAATAAATCTCAGTTCGGCATCACTTAAGGATTTATCGTCTTCTACGCTTTATGGATTCCCAGCCGCTCCACGCCCAACAGCTTGTGACAACTACTTCGAGGAATTCAAAGAAGTGCCACAGAGCGCAAACACTTTGAGCGGCTTAAGAAGTGCTTCTATTTTTCAATCACAAGCGTCCGTTGCTAGTGGAAGGTTCCTAGACTCTACTGCAGTGGAGCCCCCTCCATCTCGAGAAGAAGAATTGGTGACATTTGGAGTTGCAAGAGTGACTGGTGAGGAGAAGCCTCCTCGACATGACAGAGCTGTTGGAACTGACCCTTACCGCAGAACAACGCCTGTCTGACTCTTGAGAAAGGGCGCCCTCCCTAAAAAGCATATCGATAAGTGAACAGTGATGGTAATTCCGATTCCAATATAAATTCTAAAGCAGGAATACTGGCCGTGAAGTGACTTTCGAATTTATAAACGTTATAGGTGATTTGCGTTATGAAAATTTTAATTGTTACATTTCCTCTTAACACTGCCATTTAGGTATTTAGCGATTTTATTAAAATATTTAATGTACATATTAATATTATGAATATGGATTAATAAAATATTATACACGAGAATACTTATTGGCATCTGTTTTTTATTACTATTTCATACAATATATTTTACAATATTTTGCAAACATCGTTTTGGCATCTATATTACTTGTAGGAAACATTTTTTTAGTTTAATAAAATTAACTCTATCTACAATAATAAAAATAGGGGTTGTTCGTAGAGGGGTGAAAATTAAGGGTTGTATGTATTTTGTATGCTGTATCATAAAAAAATAAAACAAAAAAATATCTAAAAAATATAAATAAAATTTAGGGGTTTGAAAGATAGATAGTAGCCGATTCTCAGACTTACTGAATATGCATAAAAAATTTCATAAGAATCGGTCGAGCCGTTTTGGAGGAGTATGGGAACGAACATTGTGACACGAGAATTTTATATATTAGATATATTAGATAAGTTCATATAGCAAACATAAATATAATATAACCTCATTTTACAAGACCTATTAAATTCGTTCGAAATTCAACTTTGACAATTGATTACTAATTGTTTGAAGGAACTTCAAACAACTCAAAGGACGTCCATGCAAATGAAAGTAAAACAAATAATTCAAATTCTTTAATAATGGGGATGTAAGTATTTTAATTATGTTTATAGAACTATTTCAATTATTTACTAAATTCGTTAATACCCATTTTTGTCTTTCAGCCTTGCGTCTGTGTTGTAAGTACCAAATACATTTTAATAATTGTTTTATTATGACGGTATCTATAGAGAGAAGTATTACATTTTGTTTTATTTGTAGCGGTCCTAAAGACCCAAGGACGCCCGTCAGAGATCCACTGCTACGATTAAAGAACGTATTTGCTCGGCACTTCAAGGGTATAATTGGTGTTTTAGTTCCAATTGCTGCGTTATCATGGCAGCCTGAGAAAGGACAAGTAAGAAATCTTTATATAGAAATCACGAATAGTAAAACTTACTAAAATAGTTAAACATTTTGTTACCTTTTGCAAATTAGTGTGTCAAAACTGACGCTTATAGCAAGTTTGTGAATACCGTTAATATTTGAGGTTTCTAGTGGTTTAGCTATCAAGCGACCAAAGTTTTAAGAGAGAGACCAATATTAAAAACATTCAGTTTCACTTCTGTCACAAAACCGCTTGAATGGTGCGTCATAGTTAACTGAAAACCTGCTTACAACACAAGTATCTAAATATTTTTTATAGAAGGGGGCAAACGGGCTTACCTGATGTTAAGTGATACCGGCACCCATGGATACACTGCCTGACTGCTTGCAAATGTGCTGCCGGCCTTTTAAAAACCAGCACGCTCTACTTCAAGAACCCCAATTCGAATTGGATCCTAACCATTCTACGGGCAGTAGCAGTTTATACACTGTTAGCTGTACCCTGCAATTTCGCCTGCATTAGTTAATGCTCTATTGTTGACTTAATTTTCATATTGAGTTAAGAAATATTTTTATCAACCTTTGCCTGACGAGAACAATTTATTTTTTATCTTTAATAGAAACCGAAGGTTTTCCGAGTACCTACATACATTTAGCCGAGTAATTTTGATTTACAGATACTATATTATATTTCCTATAAATATCTATAATTTTAAATATTTTTACAGAACGATATAACAGTGATGTGTATGTGGTTTATGATGTTCTGGTTTTTAATCTGGCAGCCAGTAAGCGTACCCGTAGTAGGTCTGATACCCCTATTCCTTTTACCCATGTCTGGAGTGATGTCTTCACCTGATGTCTGCAGTAGTTATTTCAATGTAAGTAAATATTACTATTATTTTAGAATCAAATTTCTGATTATGTACTATGCAAATGCTAAAAATACGTCTCCATCATATATTTGAAGGAAATAATCTTACAGTTGGGTAAACGTTCAACTGAGACCTTTCATATCAGTATTTTATTGCTAATTTCTTTGTGAAAACTAATTAGGGCTTTATTAAAAGAAAAAGGCGGTTGCAACTTGCAGTGTCATAAAAACCAGTATTAATTTGGGCCACAACTAAATCACACTTGAGACTGAACTAGTTAAACTGGTTGATATGATCAAATACTAATGAACTCAACCAAAGTCAAAGTCAAAAATCATTTATTCATGTAGGTAACATGTACACTTATGAACGTCAAAAAAAAAAGAAATATCCATTAAATAGTTCTTATTTTACATTTACTGCCAGTTCTCAAATCAAGGGCGTAGAACCGAAGAGAAGAACTGGCAATAAACTCTCCGCCACTCTTTTTAATCGACAGGTTTTTTGATTTACACAACGTTTGTAAGGAGCTGCAACCATTACACCATGTCCCACATGACACCTTAAGTAATAAATAGTAATAAAATAAATTAAAAACAAAGATTTGTCCTCTATCAGTAGGAGGCATGGTGAAATAGGAGCACGCACTTACATTCTCGTGGGAACAACACGCAAATATATAATATGTAATATAATAGTATCACTATAAACCAACTATCTAATTGGTCGCCTGGAAGAGATCGCTCCAAAGCGATATGGCCGCTAGTTGCCTTTCCATTTAATTATGTCAATTGTATTATATTTCTGTATGCAACGTAGTGTTAACAAATAAATGTCTAGTGTGCCTGAACTAAAAAAGTGACGTAACACCAAAATAATAAACGATATACATACTCGTATTTGCATCAAGTATCTCATTTTGGAAGTTTTACATACAATTACAGTAATAAATTGTTTAATTTTCTACTTTCAAAATTTCCGTTATAAATGGCCTAATATTTTTATTTTTCAGGATAGTGTCTGCCTATTCGTATTGTCTGGAATGGTTTTGCTTCTCCTGAATATTTCAGGTTTTGACAGGCGTTTCGCATTATGGCTGCTCTGTTCGGGTGATAATTGTCAATTCTCTGGAAAGCGGTAAGTTGGATTTCAATTAACATTCCGGGTTTAATCTCCATTAAGACTGGCCCGTTCTGCAGAGGATTTTATAGTGCACAAATCTATGCAGACACGTGTACTCTATTGTACTTTCATAGTGTGATGAGACGTATGATTGATACGAACGCTACGCTTTGTGGTGTTGTTCATAGAGCATACTCCTCTCTTCGAGGACACTCTCCTTAAAGCCTCAGCTAGCATCGGGATACTGGGCGTTGACGTATCGAATGATGTTTAGTTTCGCGGGCATTTGGAAGGAAATGCTAAGTTAGCCTCTTAAGCGGGTCATAGACGGACCGATTCGGTCTTGACTGCTACATGCGGTTTCCTCAGGAACTGCTCGAGCGGTCCGTGTATGGCGAATATGAATTTAGTATGGAAACTGCAGATCGCCGTGCGGCAACCGCATGTTGCGTCAGTCTTGACTGCAACATGCGGTCCGTCTATGGCCCGCTTTAGAAGCTTGGTGTGCTCAGCAAGGCGAGAAGGTACTTCACCCCGGGCCACTGCTTGCAACTCTATAAAGCACAAATTCTCATCTCTGGGCGGGGGAGCTCCCCAGTACCAGTTGCTACCGCTTGACCGTATTCAACGAAGAGCGTTTCGAATCGTCGACGACCAGTCACTGTCCGAGCGGCTTGATCCCTTGGCGTTGCGTAGAGATGTGGGATCTCGCTTCATTTTCTACCGCATTTACCATAGAGAGTGTTCAGAGGAGTTGTTCGGACTAATACCTACCTGCAGCTGAGCTTCATCATCGGACGTCAAGGCAGAATACAAAATACCATCCGTATCACCTTGACGTCCGTCGTTCCACAACTGAGCGATTCTTAAAGCAATTTCTGCCGCGCACCACCACTATGTGGAACCAGCTGCCCACTGAAGTATTTCCGAACCAATTCGACTTAAGGTTCTTCAAGAAAAGAGCGTACCAATTCTTGAATGGCCGGCAGCGCGCTTGCGAGCCTTCTGGCAGCGCGACTGTCCATGGGCGTCGGTATCACTTAACATCAGATGAACCTCCTGCCCGTGTGCCTCCTGTAACATTAAAAACAAATAGAGCAACCATTAAACATTTTTTCCTAGAATATCGGATGTTGTTCAAGACCTACTCGGGATAAGAAGATAAGTCATCTGCAGTTCAACATGGTAACTACCATTAAGTTAGGAATCAAAGAAACAGTGGAAATAACGAATTATAATCCCGAAGAATAAATGAGCTTTTTTTTATTTCAGAATCGTGTTCAAATCGAGTGTTGCTGCATTTGTGATGTCCATGTTTAGCAACCGACTGATAGCATCTTCTGCGATAACGCAGTACTTGACACCGGCGTACGTTAATTTGCAGGTACTTTGTTTGTTTTTTAAATAGAATTTCATAATTCCTAGATGGGAAACGGCGTCCACAGTATGACTCCATTGCGTTCGGTCTTGAGCCTCGTATTTCACCTCGCTCCAAGTCTTTCCGGCTCTCTTTGCCTCATCAGTACGGCGCCAGGATTGCCTGGGACGGCCATGCTTCCGCTTTCCTTGCGGGTTCTAATCAAGCGCCTGCTAGGGGATGTGATTGGGACCCCTTCGGGAGCGTTTACCTATAGGAACCTATAGGAAACAGAAAAACTGACTAGTTAATTGACATGTGATTCTTACTGAACATTCAGCATCTATGAAAAAGAAAAATAGTTATACAGTAAATTATAATGCTGTGGAAAACAAATGTTGTATATGTATGTGTTTATTACCTGTGTGTAATGTGTAAGAAATACAACTAAGATCACTAACTTGTCTTAAATTTAAATATAAAAGGCATCGGTTATTAAAAGCTATTTGATTTAAAATTTATATGATAACGATATTTTCAGTCCTACACCGCCCGGTACAGGGCTACGGAGCCAAACTATGACACTATGCGACATATAGTACTTAACGCAGTGCAAACATCATCGTCAATAGGTATGTTTATCATTAATTTTACGTTTTAGTTTCCACTAGTCTTTCGTAGAACAGATTTATTTTAATTATATTTTGATGTGAAAACAGTGACCGTTATTAGCAATCTATTATTATGTAAATTAATCAATAAAGCTTTTTATAAATTTGACGAATACTTAAATGATCCTAATCCTTGGGATTGATTTGCTCCAGTACAAAAAATTTGTATGACAATACTTGGCGATTAAAAAGAGTGGCGGAAAGTTTCTCGCCAGCTCTTCTTATCCGCTCTACGCCCTTGACTTGCGAACTGGTAGTAAATGTAAATTTACAATTAATTTAACATCGTTTTGACGATTCATAAGTGTACTTGTTTACCTATATGAATAAAGATATTTTGAGTTTGAGTTTGAGTTATCGGTTGTTGTACGAACCACGACCGGACAATTTTCAACGTCACAGTTAATTAGGTAAACACAATTATTAGTTAAAATAAATTTTAGTCAGTACTATCGCGAGCAAAACAATACCAATTTTATAATTTGCAATTAAAGATCTAACATTACTTGAGTTTTCGAATCATATTTTTATTAAGGGTTAAAATCGTTTATTTTTAAGGGTACATTAATAATTATATAAACTATAATTATGTATAAAATCCAAAACGCTTCCAAATTCGAAAACTTAACGATTATTTTCAAATAAATTTGGGTTCACTGGTTTTATTCTTAGCTTCCGTTTAATTCTATGACAAAGATATTTTATATTTTTAACCGGCTTGATGCTCTCTTAAAAACGACTAGTACGGCTGTGTGAGTTGTATTTTTTTTTCAGGAAGCACAGCCATTCTTCACTCCTCATATACGATTGTTGCTATGCGTGCTATGTTCTCTGAGTAAGATTAAATTTTTTATTTATATTATTTAAGCATGAGTCACAACATGTCGTTACCCGATCGTGTATGTTTTAATCAACGTTTAGCCATATCCTTAATGTAAAATGCGATCGGCCTACGTAATCTGTTAATAGATATATTTTATTTATTCCATAAAGTATATTTTTTTTATAATTTAACAATAACATAGCTTTCTCATAACATATTCGAAAGCAATTATAACTACGATAAGCGCCTACGGAAATCCTGATGACTTAAATGTTTCATCCCATCTTGTACAATAAAGTAGTTGGCGATTTTTTAGCAATTTTTCTCGTCTGTTCTAGAACCTCGATTTAAGAACGCGTATAACGTGGTGTAAATGTGGATTTTGCAATTTAATTTTGTTGACACTCACTTATTTTTCTAATACGAATACACTTTTATATTTTCGGCCAACCGACACGTTTAAAATTAACTAGAACAATTTATTTTTCAGACAAGACAAGAAATTAGTCTTTCCTGATATATTCAACTATTTGCAGTACACCGTGTTTGCTTTTCCAACTGCTTTTTTCATGTTCATTTTGAACGTATGCTATCACATGCTACTAATTAATTGGTAAGTAAAATTATATTAAATTCTTTTTTTTAGTCGTTAAGTTGTGTTAACGGGGTTAACTTATGCGGCCCAAATATTTTTTAGGCTGATTGGCAAACCAATGAGTGCGAGCAGTATGACAGAATTCCGTAATTCAATATTAAAAAATAAGAACAGCATACCGAAGAGAGCTACACCCCATGAAAAAGTACGTACCTATTATGATTACTTACAGATATATAAAGAAGCAAAATCAATACTTCATATTAATGATACTATTTGTGTATATATAATAGCAATCTAATATATAAATGTTTGTATGGGGATCTTGAACAGCGCTCTGTCTTTAAAAGATAAGCTACCAAAATCAAACATTAACGTATAGTTTACACGATACGAACTATCGATGACAGTTAAATAAGAAAATCATTATTGATTTTCAGATAAGCAATACAATTTAGTAATCCTAATTAGATCGTAAATAAAGATTCAATGTTTCATAAAACACGTCTGAAACATACCTAAAAAATAACTTTAAGCGAAAATATAATTTTCACGCAAATCATTCCGTGGTTCTGCCTGTTAGACATGAAATTAATATTAATTCTTATTTAAATATTTTTCAGATGACGGTCTTATTTGCCATACTCTATCTGATCGCTGTTATGTTCCGTTGGAGTAGATGGAGTGGAGCTTCGTGGGCCAAGAATAAGACCCTTCCGAACAACGAGAATCTACCGATGTAAAATGTTTTTTTTAATTATAAATACGAGTACAGTAGAAACAAAAACATATATATATTTTTAAAGGCACACTAACGAAACACATACAAACACTTACAGAGAACAAATAACATAGAAAACAAGAAACATGCATGTGCATCAATAACAAGTGGGCACAACATTTAAGGGGAAACATTACAATGATGAAGAGAAAATAACTTAAACAATAAACATTAAAGTAAAAAACAAACTAGATTAAAAAAATACAAACATGCAATTTACAAATATATATAAAAAAAAACAATAATTTTCTACTTTGCAATTATCACTATTGGTCACGGATCAACAGTTTATTAAATAATTATATTGTTACATAATAAAAATAAATAAAAATATGGTGACTCAAATTCAAGAATCGTCAAATTGAGCTAATGAAATAATGTAAATAATCAAATTGAAATAATCTAAAATACAAAGTTAATCTATAGTTATACTATATATTATATAGCCTTATTTTTGTGTATATCAGTCCTAGAACTAAAGAAATAATCTATCTGTTGTAAATACAATTTGTATGATGACTACGTACTCAAAGGTGTAATGAGACTGATTAAACTTAGATAAAGAAGATACAATTTGCAATTATGATTTGTGATCAATCTGTCTTTACCTCCAGGGTAAAAGATGCATCGGTAGCTGCAGTTTTCTTATTGCTTATACACGTTATTCCGAGAACATGTGGATGGATGAAAATACTACAAGCCGAAAGTAAGAAAATATGTTTATAATCCTTGAATAATATTAAATTTTAGTAGTTACACACTTCTAAGAACAGCAGGGATAAGATACACTTGAACTGGAGAGATGTATAGGACGACAGAAGAAAAGATGGACAGATGACCTTATGGAACTAGCGGGTAAAATCTGGATGAAAGTTGCTTAAGACAAAAAGAAATGGAAAAATATGGAGGAGGCTTTTATCCTAAAAGGAGCCAAACAGATACTAGAGCACTAAATAATAATATTTTTTTTTGAACTTATACTCATGTAACTAATACCCATATTAAGAAATGTAAACTATCCAATTGTTGTATAGATTCATTATTCAGCTTTAATAATAATAATAAGGATAGCAGGTTTTTGATGTGTTTAATAGTATTTTTGATAAACGGGCAAGAACTATCACCGCCAACAAAAAACGTTCCGACTGTAATACTGGCAAATAGTAATTAATTAACAAGGTTATGATATAAATCATTTAAAGATTCTATTAAAATTTACAGAAAAAAGTGAATGTGGTTCACTGAAGCCCGATTCCGCATTAATGTTCTGGCGATTTGTTGACAAGAATACAAACTATGGATATATTATTCTGATTGGTAAGTAATATTGATGTGACAATGCAACTCTAGAACCAATTTTATACGCTTTAAGAAGACAGTGCCAGCGTCCCTAAACGATACGAACTTTGTAGTAAGAAGTCATAATATCAAAAAAACTTGAGACAACGAAGTTCCTTTCGATTAATTAGTGAAGGAATGTAATAATTTTTTTTTTTTAAAGTTATATTTTTTTTATTATTAACAAATATAATGTAATATAGACTTAATCAGTGGCTTAATTTGCTTTTAAATTTATCAAAATTATGACGCGTACACTTGCTAAACACACTATAATGGAGAGATTATAACGCGTATGAATTGGTTAGCACAATAGTAAAAAGAGGTTATAATACGTACCTACTTGGTAAAAATATCCGGAACTTGTGCAGAAACACGGTCAGCCTTCATTATTGTTTTTATTTTTTATTATATATAAAAAACCTGTAAACACAACAAAAATAATCGTCGCGACACCACACTGTTCAATGCGACATAGAAAGACGAAACGAAAATAACTGGCTTGATTTCTATGAGAGTGAGAAACGCCGCACGGCTTACAACGCGGTGCATTCGCCAGATGTCGACGCACCCTTAGACCCAAACGTCAACGGCGTGTGTCAGGCACTGGAGGCTGATCACCTATTAGATTTAAAAATGATCATGAAACGCCACGTTGTAGCGCCACTGATTTTTTTTTTCACTCACTTACTCCAGGTAACCTTAAGTTGTTATTTCCAACACAGTTACAATAGGTTCCAAAATTACTATTTAATAAGTTAATTAAACACGCATCTTTACAGGATCAGGTGTCGCTCTTGTCCGGGCCATTAAAGCCGCAAATGGTTATCCGAAGTGTTTCAATTTTTACGAGAAGCTGATGGATTCTAAGACAAATTGGAATAATCAGATGGCGTTGATTGCAGTTATTGCCTCTATAGGTCCCAATATAATTTCTGGAGTCGGATCGCTTATTTCTTTTCTGCCATTGATTTTGAGCATTGTACGTATTTGTGGTCTTTCATAATTTTGAGCATGTTTTAATGAATATTTTTCGTAATAAGTTCTGGATCAACCAGTAACACTGATTTGGAATGGTAGTTATTATTAATTGATAATACTAACACGGTCGAGGTTTTTTTAAATTGTTTGCAATCATTAGGTATTATTTTATAATGGCTATATATTTTTTTATTCAGAATCATTATTACAGTGATAAGTAGAAGTATAGTAATTAAACAAATAAAATACAAATCTATAATTTATTGTCCGTCATAAAGCACGCCAAACATCACTTAAGGGTGCCAACTAATACAGACAGTAAGGCTATGTTCACATGTAAGGCGCGGTCAAATTTGAAGAGAGTTCAGATGATGAGCTCTAATGCGCGTTGCGAGAGTACTCGTCAGTATAGTTCGGTAGAACGTAGAAAATGTACGTGGAAGAGGCTATTATTTTGTGATTATATTATAAAGAAAAATATAGAAAAAGAAAACGTACACATTGGGTTCATCCAATTTTGAAAAATATACCCAGTTTGGTATAAATTTAATTACGAAAATTAACAAAATAACATGCGATCGCGATGAAAGCGCGCGCTCAACTGAACAGGCAACAGCATACGGACATTACATTAATATCAAAGCGCGCGTCAACGCGCGATCACCTGCGTCTAGAGACTCCTTCTCTGAGCGCCGCGTTGACGCGCGTTAACGCGCGCTCATATGAAAATACCACAATGTCTAGTCGCGCGATTTGAAAACGCGCGTCAAGTTTTTGCCATCTGAACATAGCCTAAATTTATAATAAGCTGTACTTTTAAAACAAGATCACGGACTAGTACACAGTAGAGAGTATTGATTATACGTAATACAAAATTTTATACAAAATAAAATCTAAGCAGAATACTTAAAAATATACGTGTGCATATACAGTCAAAACTGGTTATAACGACATTGAAGGGACCGTATAGTTGCCGACGTTATATCCGATAGTCGTTATAAGCAATGTCATGTACACAAGTACAGTACATATGTATGTACATAGTTATCGATCTAGAATAGGTAGGTATGGGTTATAATATGGTATGTTAATATTATAATATGTAAACGAGTCAAAAAAGAAACAAAAATATTTATTACGAAATAATTAGGTACAAAAGTAATCAGTCAGTCTTTTTTTTAGCCCAGTCTCAAATATTTTTTGCATTTTACGTTTCATACTCCTCAAGGTATGAGTATCACCAGTATCAAACTGTTCGTTAAAGGCAACAAATTTTTGCAAAATCGTTACAGCGTTAAGAGCCTCGGAAATCGTTGTTGGCTGAAACTGTTCGTTGGGAGAAAGTGCGTAGGTAATAATATGCCTAAATATTCATTCAATGCTTATAAATAAAATTTAAAATCGTTTGTATTGTTTTGTTTTACTGAGACAAGAAGCGGTTGGTCGTTATATCCGATGAATATCGATAAACTTTCGTCGTTGTAAGCGATATGTCGCTGTATCCGATGTTGTTATAAGCGGTTTCTTTACTGAATAGTTTACTAGGGATTCGGACGGGACCATACAATCTGGTTGTAATAACCGATAGGTCGTTGTAAACGATGTCGTTATTAACGGTTTTGACTGTATTAGCATTATTATTTTGCAGTAGAAAATCTAATATATAAAATTCTCGTGTCTCGGTGTTTGTAGTTAAACTCCTCGGAAACGGCTTGACCGATCCTCATGAAATTTTGTGTGCGTATTGGGTATGTCTGAGAATCGGACAACATCTATTTTTCATCCCCCTAAATGTTAAGGGTTGTCCACCCCTAATTTTTTTTTTTATTTTTCTATGATACAGCATTAAAAAATACATACAACCCCTAATTTTTATTATAAATTATATACATGGCAAAACAACGTTGGCCAGGTCAGCTAGTAATATATAAATGATCATATTAAGGTCTGAATTTTTGTTATCATACTATTTTAATATATTCTAGAGAGGCGAAGGTGAAGATGCAGAAAATCCTTGGAAACAGAACAGATATGCAGCAGTACTTGCTGCTGGAATGGGATCATCTTTTGGATTTATGTTGCCGTTTTTATACACACCAGCCTATTTTTGCCACTACACGGGAAAAGTACCGATAAAAAAGATGGTAATTATTAACAACAACTCTCGTCTCTAGTGATATTAAATCAACTTCTGTGACCATGACGTGGTAACCCGAAACAACTCCAGAATAAATAAGCATCCTTGTTGAGATTCATATGCACGTGTGACACGTGTACTGTACTAGCCAGTGTAGAAGTTGAATTTGACGACTCATTGGTCTAGTGGTTAGTACCCCTGACTGCGAATCCATGGGTCCCGGGTTCGATCCCCGGCTGAGACGAACATCGATGTGATGAGCATTTGGTGTTGTGCTTAGGTCTTGGGTGTTTAAATATGTATTTATATGTCTATCTATCTATAATATGTACGTATATCCGTTGCCTAGTACCCATAACACAAGCTTCACCAGCTTAGCATGGGACTAGGTCAATTGGTGTGAATTGTCTTTAAAAAAAAAAAATATTATAAGTATGAATCATACTTTTCCAGATATTGTATTCCATCGGTACACTGATTATATGCGCAATAGTCTTGTGGGTGGCGACATGTTTTTGGGCACCTATTGTGTGGCAGCCTACCGCGGAAGGCTTCGAAGGAGTAGTTGTGGTTGAAGGCGGCGCAGATGCAGGTGGAGGCGATGCTGGTGGCGGTGGAGACGAAGGTGGCGGTGATGAACCGGAACCTTAGTCTTACAACTTGTGTCCGGTTGTCTCACATTTGTGCCCGACTGTCAACACTCGACTGTCATAATTTTATTTAGTGTTATTCGGAGAGTACTTTATTTTGTTAGTTGTCATATACTCCGTCTTAGTACTTGTTCACGTTGACTCGCGGGCGCGGTGTCGGGCGCGGTCACGAAATATCAAACATATGGCGTAATGTCCAAGTGTTCACATACGAAACGTACGTGCGGTCTAAGTAGCGGGCAAGGTAGCGACAGGCGCGTGCGTGCCGCTCGCGGCAATATCAAACGCGTGAAATGTTTGTGTGTGTTCACGTCGAACTAGCGGCGGAGCGCGCGGTTCACTCGCGACGTCAGGTAAGTTCAATCAGTTTGAACTTGTCGCTAGAAACGGTAGTACGTCTTCAGCATTTCTTTCAATACAGAAGAGTTTATTTGTGCTGAATCTAATATGTAATCAAAACAGTTGACAGTCATCCTGGTATAGCCAAAAAATCTTGAAGGATGTCCCTCAAATTACTATATAAAGTATGAAATTCACCATACCGTTCTCTTTCTTTATAAATTTCGTGCACACCAATTCTATTTTTTATCATCTCCCACTTTAGATATGAATTTTCGGTTAAAAATAAAAGAATGTCGTCCATGTCTACAATCTCTGATCTCCACGTCACACTCGCGCAAACGCCTGGCGGCCAATGTGAACACGAACTCGCTACTTCTCCGCGCCCGCACCCGCCGCCGCGCCCGCGCTTTCCAACGTGAACATTGAACAAGCACTAAGAGTTACATTGCAAACTCTGGAAATTATCAACAGGCAGCATACATAAAAGTAGTGTCTATAATGTGTTAATTTTTGTTATGGCTTACCATTTAATAATAAATAGGTTGTGATAAAGCTAAGTATAAAGCAGATTATGGATAAATCAAATCGGACGGTGCAAATTCATTTGATACCTACTGTAGAAATAGAGAATGTAATGGGAAATTTATTCCAAACAATATTTGCTATAAAAACTTTAAAAATAGCTTAATTTTCAATCATTGAAACTGTTTGTAGGCTTATTTATATTGAATATAATTATTTCTGCGATGTATCTTATGAGTCAGGCGAATATTTGCCTGCTGACTTCATGCTGCTTAAACTGATTACTTAATTTACTGCAACATATTTTGTATCAAAACACTAATTTAGGAATATAACAGTTTGTAAGGCTTTGTGCTATTTGTTATTGGTCTAAACTTTTAATTGTAATAAAGATTATAAGTAGAAAATATAATTTTCAATTAATAAAATTATAAACCATATAGATTATTTTCATTAGATTTTCATTACGAAAATTTAGTTTTTTAAAAAGAGCAGGTAAAATCTTTATAATAATAATTCCAATTTCACTTTCATTCACGTTTCATTTTTTCTCACGGAAAACCAAGTGTCTAATAATAATTTACGTAACGTAAATGTTCTATTAAAAATTATGCATTCTATATTTAAAAAGCGTTCCAAATCAAAACAGCTAATATGAATTAGGAATGAGGCCTATGGTATGCTTTGTAATAAAGGAATCTATTAGGAAAAATGAGACACTGGATTAGATAAAATCTTTATCGATATTTGAAAAAAAAAATGTATTAATGCGTTCGTGAGTTATATATCCAGTCAGGTAGGTTGTGGAGATCAGGCCATACCACTGGAGCCCAGAAGTTAATGCAGAACCATGTGATTATAATCGTCGTTAAAGTTGGTCCTATTCCTGCCTTCATCTGTGAATGATGTTGAATAATAATAAAACTTGAATAACATTTAAAAAATCGTGTGTGAAACTCGTTTACTAAAAAATCCAAAAGAGCTACGATCTTCTGGCCGTCTTAGCCTTGAATTTCTTTATTGACTATATTTATTTCTGAAATGGCAAGTGGCAGTGGATCGGATCTAAAGGTGCGCTTACACGAGGGCAATAATTGCTCGGCGACACGAATGGACCGATCTGGAGCAGTTAATGGAACAATTTCAATAAATTATTTCGGCGATATTGCTTCTAATTGCTCCAGATATTTCATATCGCTCAATGTTGCAGATACGAATTGACGAATATCCAATGGACTTGGAAATTCCTAGCAATTTTCGTATATGTCTCATTCGCACTTGTTTGTTTTGCGGCTTGCCGTCTTGCTTCCGCGGGGAGAGCGAGAGGTCTAAATAATAATAATTTCTAATTACTTTATTCAAAAGTAATTCAAAGCTTTTTCGTGACATTCTAGTAAAGTTTTTGAATAATATATCATCTAATTCTTTACATAATGAAAATTTTGTCCTCTTTTCCAAAAACGATCGCACCCAGATACGCCTATTCCTTTTCTTTCTTTTTTGTTTTTGATTAATGATAAAAAAAAGCGCTACAAGCCGCCGCAGCAAGAACAATGTCGTCCATAGCGAGCGAAAACTGAAATGCTCGTGTATGACAGTATTGCCTAGTTGATGAAGTTGCGCCATATCGCTCAATTGCCCTAAAAATAAGTCTTAGCTGACTGTTCCTTTCGGCAACATCTGCTTTTATCCCCTTTATTCATTCGTACATACCCTAATAATATATTGACAGTATAAATTTGGAATATAATTTAATACCTTAATAGTTTCAAATGATAATTTTATGAAAAATATTTTATTGTCCGTTTTGTTTACATCAACAATAAGCAAAATGGCGTCTATATTCTGCGTTACACTTATTTTTGTCCCCCAAAATTTTTAAGATAGTAAGTGACTTACTAAATTTAGTAAGTACTTACTTCGCCAAACACGCCCATTGTATTGCGCAGTATTGATGCTTGTTGCCGTTGCCGTAAATTGCTTGATGAAGTCGTGACGTCATAGTTGACGAGTATTGACTGGAATTGAGCAATTTTAGTTGCCCGTGTAAGCGCACCTTAAGACACCGCTTTCCTGACGATATTTCCTCACAGTACGAGCCAGTCATTTGGTGCAGTGATACAAACTTCACTAGGTCGAAACTGTTTATATATTCCGATCATCGTTAATTTAATAAAATATTTATTTCATATGCGTATACGCTACAATTCTTTAAAAGATTAACTTAACTTTAACTTATTTAATATTGACATCTTTGTGAAATATCCTATAATATAAATTATCGCGTAACCTCCAGGAGCGCTGTTTAGTTTCTCATAAACCTTTAAAAGCCTTAGACGTTTTCTATACATATTTTTTTACTAATAAGTAACACTGCTGATGTTACTACATATATGAATAACAGTAGAATAGCAATAACGTTACCATTTTCGCTGTCGGTATGTTAGCGACGCTTTGAACGACCAAATTTCCCGGCGTTCCAACAGGAAGACAAAACGCATATGACGACGAATAACCTGCTGCTATATTGTACCATAATGGGTTTTGATTTATTTCTTTCGCCTGGAAAATAAACCGTTAATTGTTTCTCTTCGAAACAGTGAATCAATGTTGCTTTTTGAAGTTATATTGAAGTTATACTTCTTTAGGCGCGTTATGAAAAATTGATGAGAGTGAAATTTTACGATGCGCGCGCACCGTGACACAAAATGAACAGAATTAAGTTTCCCATTAAATCGCTCATTAAGTTGAGGAAAAAATGCTACCAACAAAACAGAAATGGAACCTCTGTTGGTGGCGCATGTTGGCACGCACGCCGCCTCTGTTCACTGTGTATTTATATTGATAATATTTATCCACATGCTTTGAGTTTTTACATCTAAAACACGTGTTTTCATTTTGTTTTCATTATACAAGTGCGAATTTTATATGTGCGTCTGAATTATAATCAGAAGTGATTTTAATTGAATATTTACGAAACAATACTAATACACACAATACAATAACAATACTAATTAATATTAGAAAATAATTATAAATATAATATTCATAAGTATTTATTTATTTAATTTTTCAAATGTAAACTGAACTTTATTGACTATAATGACTCCTTTTCCAGTCTTTGATTATTTAATTGTAATTAATTATTTGCATGCAATCAAAAACTATTTTTAATAATGCCAAAGAAGTATAACTTCTTACGCGCGATAAGTACACGCACACTTTTTTATTTTAAATGTATGTAACACAATTAGAAAATTGTAAGTGTTTTGTACAATTTATTTGGTCAAATACGGAAAATCATTAATATTTCAAATGGAAGAGACTAGCTTCCAACGACTCATGGAATCCTAGTGTGGGGCCTAGTGTACTTCCTCTTTTAACTATTCTATTATGTGTAAAGTCGTAAAATATTTAATGGGCATACATATTTCGGCATCGTTTCTCGCTGGTAATGTGTAACAATAGTATTTCATTTTGTGCATCCACAACACAATTATTGAAAATCAAACCGTGTTCTCTTTAATTATGTAGTATTCGGTAAGCCGCAGATAAATTGCATTAAAGTATTTACCAACTGCATAACGATTGGCGCTATAACGTTGCACACAGCTACGTTCGATGCGAAGTTCGTTATAAAAACCGTAAAAATTATAATGAAGAAAAGAATAGTTCCATTGTTCAAATATCTGAAATCTTGTAATACGGCACCAATTTTTCCATTGAGGTTCGTATGTTCTTCCTTCGCTGCTTCGGAGAGGGCAAAACCGCCACCTTAAAGTAAATACCCCGGAACTTATTAATTTTTTGCCTTTATCTCTGAAATGTCACTTTGCAAATATGTGAGAAAAGGTTCTTTAACTGAATGAGGCTTTTACTATGTTTATAAATAAAAAACGTACGTACCCCTTATAACGTACTATAAGCCTTATAGTATAAGGGATAGTTAGTATCACTTATATACGTAGTATAAGGGATAATTAGTTAAAGATTATTATGGCTTCTTAATCTTTTAAGAGTTTTAGTAACACTAATATAGAAATATAAATAATTTATTTGTTGATTGTATTACTTGCTTGGTACGAACATGTGTTTTCATTTTAAAAAGGGCATAACTAGAATAAAAGATACAAACAAATTACTTTGAATATTACCTAATAGAAACATGAAACTGTATGGCATTATTTGATTCATAGTTTTCCAATCAAGAACAGATGGTATAGAATGTTTCGGTAAATCCTCATGCTCTGAAAAAATATTGCATAGAGCTATATAATCAAGTTAAATGACAAAACATTTAAAAAACATTTAAAATCTGAATGGTATCAGTTTCGCGATCATTTATCTATTCTAATAGACAAGTAGGTGATCAGATTTCTGATCCAGATACACCGTCAAATTTATGGGTCTAAGGCGTGTTGGTTTCCTGACGATGTTTTCCTTTACCAAGCAATTGTTTTGGTTGAGGATCGAACCTTCGACCTCAAGGAAGAGAGTCGCTCGCTAAAGCCACTAAGCCAAAACTGTGAAAATAACATGAATTGAAATAATTACATGACATGAATAAAATAACTAATTTTCGTATTTGACCATCTGAAAAAATCTTGTATCAGTATAGTATTTGTCCAGTGATACTATGAGTCAGCCTCAGATAGTAGCAATTTCTTTGGTAATCAGTCTTCTATGTCTGACACAGATCATTGATTTTAAGGTCCAAGAAGTGATCCCCAACCTTTTTTGTGCCACCCATCAAATGTAACATAATTTGAATTATTAAAAAATTTAATTGTTCACTTAAGAAACTGAAATGGTAGGTTTTAGAAAGAAATTGCTAGGAAATTGCAAACCACAATACACATTTCCGAAATTCCAAATAATATCAATAAATTCTTGAATAGTTTTGCCCCACGTTGGGAAACACTGGTCTAAGAAATGCAAGTTTTCTCACAATGTTTACTTTACAGCACTACAATTGGTAATTGCGCACATGGAAATATTGATGCAGTTATGTATGTCCAATTTTTCAAGTCATATGCGACTGTTATATCAGTAAAAGTTTAAAATAACCTTGAGCTTTACAGTTATTGAAGAACTCCAATGTAGATGGTAATAAGAACATAAGAAAACCAACCAGCATTGCAGCTGAAGAATCGCCGACGCTGAAATTATATAGTAACACCGTCTTTATTCAGTAATATATTACCAAATACTTAATTTCATAAATAAAGCAAATAAATAAATTTGGATAAATCTTATTTTATTTAAGCATGTTTAAAAATAAAACCGGTAATATTGCTAGAAAAAGGAGTGCAACTATTTAAGAGCTACTTCACTGTGTCTAGATTATTAAAAAATAATAGTGGCGCTACAACCTTTTTAGGTCTGGGCCTCAGATTTTTGTATCTGTTTCATGATCGTTTGTCAATCTAATAGGTGATCAGCCTCCTGTGCCACGCTGTCGACTTTTTTGGGTCTAAGGTAAGCCCGTTTCCTCACGATGTTTTCCTTCACGAGCAAATGTTAAATGCGCCGATAGACAGAAAGTCTATTGATGCACAGCCGGGGATCGAACCTACGATCTCAGGGACGAGAGTCAAGCGTTGTAGCCACTAGGCCAACACTGCTCATGTCTAGATTACTAAGCGGAATAAAAATACCCGTACAATTTCTTATTTCCCAATTTGAAGTAATTCGAAACTTGATCACCCCATCCAGAAAATATTTGCGGAGATCGACAGAAAAATAGGCATATGGCTAGACTGAAGAGTAATATAACCATCTGTAAAAAAAATGTATGGTTAGGAATTTCCAATTTAAAAACTCATCCGTATTTTATTAACGCCATGTTATTAAATTAATCTCTTTAATTGCACACTGCCTAAATTCATTAGGATCGGATAATAGATAATTCATTAGCTTTTAGCTTTTATGTTTTCTTGTTTTGTGTTTGATCTTATGATTTTTGTATTAATAAGTTGCATTTGTTGTATTAGTAGTTACTGTAAGAATATAAAATAAAGAAATTAATTAATGTTTACGTCTAAAACCAAACATATTAATACAAAAAGTATTGAATAAATGCTTAATTAATTCTTTACAGATTTTGAGCTGCAGGTTGCAGTTATAGATTATTACTACATTCTCAACTTGTGGTGTGAGAAATTCACTACATATTAAGTATAACGGTACGACTTATGGCTGCTGCCATCATCACAAGTATCTAATGACTGAACCACAAAAAAAACACAATACAAAAAATTTAAAAGGAAATTAGCCATAAACTAGGTGAATAACTTACGATTTCCCAAAAGGTTATCCTTCCAAGATTTTTATAATCTTCATTTACAACTTTTTCGGCGGCTTCTATTCCGGATTGTGGCACTTTTGCTCTTTGTGCTGCAGCACTTTTTGGTCTATAAATATAGAGTAGATATAATATATCAGAACAAAGTTGAATACTTTATGTTTACACTCACCTTAAAAATCCGAAGTAAACAATGACCAGGTATATATACATTGCACCTTCCATCACCATCATGTATGGAATTGCGAATGCAGAAAACTTAGGAAATGATAAATATTCCGGCGCATTTGGATATGTTCTGAAAATTTCCTGATACATTGATACATTTCCTGAGACTGAAGCTACCTCATTGGTTTACTTTAGTTAATCCAGGTAAAAATTTGATAACCAATCACCCTTACGCCATACGAGACTTAATGCCGTTAAAGAGTGTGATTTAGTTTTTTGTATATGAATAGTATTTCCATTATTTTTGTTACATTTACTTACTTTGAAAATAGTCCTTTAAAAACGAAGTTTGTTGCGGTGCCTACTAAAGTACCAATACCACCTGAAAAATTCATCTCTTTAATAATGTAAACAAAAAGTAATATGTAAAATGTGAACAAATACTCTGAACAAAACTACAAGAACTTTGTAAAAAAAAACAAATGTGAACAAGATTCACATTTATTGTTATAAAAGTGAAGGCAAAGAAGGCACAATCGCTAAGTCACTATTTCGCCTTTTTCGACGTTGCAGAAAGCTCTTTAAGAATACAGTGTAAAAAAAAGCACTGGCATTTTGCATAAACGATAAAGAGTATTACTATAAGTAAGATAAACAAATTATAACAATACCTATAGTTGCAGAAAACGTCACTGCGCAGAAATAACACGTTGTAATATCTGATGCAACATTTTCACCATTTTTATTGACATCGTAAATGCTTAACAAGTTTTGCTGTAAAACAGTTCACAATCTTAATCTTGGAATCAAGATACAAGTGAAAATCATGATAACAAAAAAGTAGGAAGTTGCAAGATACGTAATATAAAACAGTCCCAAATAATTCTAGCATTATTCGAATAGCCAATGTTGATATAATATATTACACTGTAGATATTTTTTTCTCTTCATCTGGAAGGTGGGGCTTAGTCAGAGATCGACGTAAATTATTAAACAAATTAATTTAACACATTACATCCTACATAAGTCTTCAAAAATCATTACTTTTTTTATTAACACAGTTACAATTAACTACAATTAACCTAACTTTAATTGACTAACAATGAGCAAGAAGTCAAATGTAAAACAGAGGAAACATGGCGCGGTCATTTTGTTTGATTGATGAACAATATTAATTTATTTTAGACTTTTACCAATCACTTTACAGTAAAATTAAACAAAGAGCAACCGTTTGATCATTGATATTACATTCAACGAAAAAACGCGTCGAAATTAAAAGCTGTTGGGTTTGAAGAGTCGAAACTATGATCATTAAATACGATTGTTCAATCACCATCAACGCTATCCTTCGTTTTAAAAGCGCATACTCGTATACTTACGTCTTCAAATACTTTTAGTACGGCAAAGTTTATTGGAACCATTAAAGTAGTAGCTGCTGTATTTGTAATCCACATAGAAATGAACATCGTTATGAAGCACATCGCAAATAATAACCTGCAATTACAAAAAATAGTCACTTATTACTCGCAAGTATGGAACCCACAATATGCCGTTTATAGCAATCGTATAGAACTCATTTAAAAGAAATTTATCAGACACCTCCAATATAACGATAAGACTTTCCTTGCTGACTACTTAACAAGATGTAACCATTTCCACATTCTTCCTCTCTCAGTTAGGCGTGAGATAGCAGATGTTACATATTTAATAAATTTAGCTACAGGTAAAGTTGACTGTCCTGAGCTACTAAGTAAGGTGTGTCTCCGTGTTTATAATAGTAATAGTAGTAGTAATAGGACGCTAAAAAATATGCACCTATTGTACACACCTAAAGTTAACACCAATTACAGAGGGAACAGCTTTATGGTTAGGGCGGCGAGTAAGTTTAATAGTCTAACTTGTGATATTGACCTATTCGCCTCAAGTGTGGTGTCGGCAAGGAGAGCTATGACATCTGAGCTCCTCAGTGGAATGAATGATGAACCATAAGTTTTTATAAGTGTATAAGTTATACTAAACTGTTAAGTGTTACTTAACCAATTTTTACTTAGTTTATTACTTTCTTTGATATATATATATTTATATAGTTGAATAAAATGATTTTATTGGTACCAATCCAGTTAATATTATTATTACTTAACTATTTGTAAAGATTTATTTAATGGCGTAAAAGAACATTGTATTTAGTAAGTAAGTTAGTAATGAGCTGTAAATCTTTCTCAATAAATAAAATAGAAATAAATATTTTTGACGCAACAAATGTAATATCTTCGCCACTATAAACGGTTTTTCCTCTTAAAAATAGTTTCATATTTAAGTTGTATGATAAGTCTACGCTATAGAGTAATTAATTTAAATTTGTAATGCAATACGTTTTAAAAAATAAGTACTTATAATGCGAGTAACCAATAGAACGGATGGCACATAAAGCCAATCTCTTGTGAAGTCCCGACTGTTCGACGGCATATGCAAGTATCATACTGCCGATAAACATCATTATCGTATCCTGTAAAACATAATAATTAAAATATGGCATTTATGAAAGGGTAAAATGAACGATTGTACGTTCTATTCTAATTGGGCGACAGCATCTCTCGTTCAATACGCAGGGAGCTGCGATATGATACGACATGTCATTACATCCGTATGAGCAATTATATTCAATGATAACGTTTCGCCTTGCACCTTTTTATTTCTGATTCTCATTTTTCCTGTTGCTCAATTATGAGTTTGACACGTTAAACGCCAACGAATAACGTTTACATATTTGTATAAAAGAAGACATACATTCATATAACACCAACAGCATTCATCAGTACTCATGATTCCGGTTAAAGGGAAGATTATAATCGGAAAAAATGATGTTAGTGGCAATGGTATACATTCAGTTACCCAGTATATCGCCATTAACACCAGGGTATAACCACACCACTGGTATTTCTGAAAATAATATTTAAATCAGAATTTTTACAAATTAGTATAAATAGCGGCAATATGCAACGTATGCTTTATGTGAATTATTTTTACATTTCTAATTTTGTTCATTGTAGATTTCAGTAGTTGAGCAGTGTTGGCCTAGTGGCTTCAGCGTGCGACTCTCATATCTGAGGTCGTAGGTTCGATCCCCGGCTGTGCACCAATGGACTTTCTGTATATGTGCGCATTTAACATTTGCTCGATAGGTGAAGGAAAACATCGTGTGTCAGGCACTGAAGGCCACCTGATCACCTAATTGTCTATTAGATTTAAATGTTCATGAAAGAGTTTTTCTATTTTTTTATTTTAAGATTTCAGGAGCCTCTAAGTTTGATAACCATTAAAGACAAATATTCTAATAATAAATCATTTGTCTCTCTTGTATATAGTACTGTATTTACCTTAGGCGGAAAGGATAGCAGTATTGGTAAAAGGATAATCGGCGTAATAAAACAAACTAATCCTCTCCAATAAATGCTTAGAATTAATTTGGTTTTATCCCATTTAGTTATTGGAGTGCCATCGTTACTAGAAATAGAACTTCTTTAACAGATATAATTTTAATTAAATTGCAAAACACGGCTTTACTGCAATTATTGTAGTCATGGTTTCATTTAAATGTGTCGCTTAAAATTATTACTGCCGCATTTTCCGAAGCCTTGACCGTCGAGGTCGCTACCACTGTTAATGCTATAACAAGCTTATTCCGTTAAATATAGTGAAACTATCTTCCTGAGAGATATGGTTGGCTTTTTATATGATAGGAGGTAAACGAGTCTACGGAGAGGTCATAAACAGCTTGCGCAGCCCATGGACACCCTTGTACTGGGCGTGTTGCCGGCCTATAAGAGGAGCATGACCTTTTTTAAAGTTTGGAGGTCGTCTCTCCCAGAAAAGACCTCCACCGGAAGTCAATTCCACAACTCCCCAGTTTGCAAAAGAACATGACTAGAGAAAGACTTCCAGCCATCAAGGTGGTGCTGATGAAACCTAGAATTATTACGACTCATGCGGTTATAAAATGAGGCCACAAGGATCAGCCGAAACAATTCTTTAGAACTTCTCCATGGTACACTTTGTAAAATACGCATAGTCCCTGAGAAGATATAGAGAATAAACCGATCAGTAATGGATTGCAAATCCGACAAGCCCTCAAAAAAAGAAGCTGGCATTTGGGGGCATCAGCCCAGAGATGTGAGCAGTTTTCCATATGAGATCGTAATTGGGCCTTGTACTGCTAAATGCGTTGTACGCCAGTGAAATACTAGCAATCCCTACCCAAAAAACTAACTTTTTGGAAGCAGGTTTGGCTTTTTCTTCCACAAGACTGCGCAAATTTGACTTGTTTCGATATGCTAACCCCAAGTATACTGAGCCTGGGTGAGTTACTAACGAGAGCGCCTTCAGATTGATACAATAAATAGATCTTGGCGGAGGATGAGCAAACTTAACAAAGTTGCTACTACCCCACATATAAACTTTTTACAGTACAGTAGTGACTTCAGATCGAGGCATATTCGATTGGACGGAGTATAGTGCATCGAATGTGCTGTGTTCATTGCTACTCAGAATAACAGACTGGCGAGAGGACTTACGCTTGCGGAACGCTCGCATTGACGGGCTCAGGAATGAAGCACCCTACGTCAATAAGGACAATGCTACGTCGGAAATTAACCAGCCATTGGCATAATCCATCAGGCAAACCGTATGACAGTAGCCTGTTGTATCAAAAGCCTTGGCTTTATCCAAGCTAGCGCCCAGTGGTTACGCTCTGTGCATAAAGGAGTAACGGAATTAGACGTCACTGTAGTGCTAAATTAGCTTTTGTTATATTGACGACGTTTTAGTTCGACCGTCTTCTAATAATATAATTCTATACTCTTGATACTTAATATAGAAAAACTCAATGTTGTAACGGACGTGACGTCCCAGTCACATCCTGCCAAGCCAAATGCCAAAGCCAAGCCAAAGCCAAAGCCAAAGCCAAGCCAAAGCCAAAAGCCAACCAAAGCCAAGCCAAAAGCCAAGCCAAAGCCAAGCCAAAGCCAAGCCAAAGCCAAGCCAAAGCCAAGCCAAAGCCAAGCCAAAGCCAAAGCCAAAGCCAAAGCCAAAAAATAAAAGAATAGGTAAATTATAATGTATATGATTTTTGTAAATTAATGACGCGCACTGCCGCGGCCGGTTCCCTTTCCGCATAGACTCTAGTAGGTGAAGTTCTACCTCTTATATCTTGAGTAATTTAAGTTACCTAGTAGTAGCTTGTAATTTTGTATAATAATTTATGTATATAGTTACTTATATTCCAGGGATTGGTCATCTGTTATCTCTTCATTGAGATTAGCGACACTATCACTCGGCAAAGACATTTTGCAAATAATTTATTACCTAAAGACCAACGCGATTTAGCGATCCCATAGGCTTTGAAATTACATCAATTTTCTAACTGGGTTTTATTACATTGTTATTTTTACTTAAACATACAAATTTTAGCGTTTTTTCCTTCTTTACTATTTATTGAACACTTCGTTATTTATATAATAGATTGGATGGTTGAGAAATGAGAAACAAAACAAAGAGAAACATTTCATATAAGTTTAATTTTGCAATACTTGTGGAAAAAATAAGAAAAATTAAAAAAAAAAAATAGATAAAAACAATCCTTGACGCGGATTATATATCATGCTAACGCTAAGGACCCACGAAGCGGTTTGCAACCGCGCCCACCGCGGTTGCGGGCCCGCAGCACTTGTAGAAAAGAGATATTTATGTAAAAAATTATATCACATTTCACGATGCGTTTAACCCCGCGGCGTGTGCGATTGTTTGCGGGTCCCGCTGCACCGGCAGTCATCTTGTACCGGCGGCGCGGTTGCGATCCCGCAGCCGCGGCGGGTTGCGCCCGCGCACTCTGCGATCGGTTAGCGGGTGACGTTGCTTTTGCAGAGCAGTTTCTGTTTTTCTAAAGTCCTAAATAACTAGACACGGACATTCGAAAATAATTATACAACTTTTCTTCATCCTTCTTTAACTCATTAATAAGAGTAACAAATTATCCATAACGATCTCGTTCCGCAATCAGTGAATGCACCCAGAATCTTTTAGGCCTTCTTTTTTTAACATTTCTGCGAGTATAACGCAACAACTCGTTTCTAGTGTGTGTCCATGGCGGTCTGGAACTCAACTGATCGTTAAATAACCCGTCTTGCAACCGCCCGTATTGCGATAATCAATCGCAAACGCGGCGGCTGCGTAACCGCACAAAACTCCGGTCTCGTGAGTTTTGAAAATAAAACTCCAAACTGCGGGTGCAAACCGCTTCGTGAGTTCTTAGCGTTAAATTTCGATCGGTGCAGAACTTTTTGAGTTTTTGAAGCGTACACAAACCAACATTACATTTTTATATATATAGATTAGTAACTATTATATAAGATTAATACTAAATTTAGAGTTAGCCCGCACTATTTTCATGTAATTAGCTCACGCTCGTACGGTGAATTAAGACTTCGTGATGAAACCGACATGACTTAGCGACTCTAGAAGTCGAGACTAGAGCGTTGTCTCTTTCGTATCTCAAAAATTTAGTATTTGTCATACGAGGAGTCGTAAATTGCACAGAATCGCGAATCAAATTCTTATCCTTAGTTGTAAGTATATCAAATCCAATTGATTTTTTACTTGCTGCAGTGACACTTAGGGCTCTGACCAATTCTGGAGACAAAGATCCACAAATCGATAACCTGTGTCGGGTAAACATGGTTGATAACTTGTCTTAAAAAAATATATAAAGTACCATAATAATATCATCTATTATATAACATTTATAACACATTATATAACATGTAACGTGGTATATGTATTGTCTATAATTGGAGACAACACTCTTATGTTCAATAAAGGACAAATTACTTCAAACTCAAACTCAAAATAACTTTATTCATATAGGTAAACAACTGCACTTTTGAACGTCAACAGAAAAAGATGGTAAATTGATTCCAAATTTAGATTTACTACCAGTTTGCAAGTCAAGGGCGTAGAGCGGGCAAGAAGAACTGGCAAGCAACTCTCCGCCACTCTTTTTAATTGCTAAGTTTTGAGTCATAATTGTTTGAACTGGAGCAAATCAATCCCAAGGATTAGGATCATTTAAATATTCTCAAATTTATAAAAAGCTTTATTGACTAAAATTTACGTTTAACTTTGAATTTATTCAGTGATAATTTTCTAATTTCGCTTGGGAGTTTGTTGTAAAAACAAATACAATTTCCATATAAGGAGAGGTTTATCTTCTGGAGCCTGGTTGGTCGTACGCTTAAATTTGTTCTGTTTGGAGTATTATAATGGTGGATCATGTTTATTGAATTACATAGTACAATTTTTTTTTTCAAAATATGATTTTTGACAATGTCTTTGAAAGTGGCATTGCTGTTATCCAGCAATAAATGTTTGTCCATTATTTAATTGTAAAATATTTAGTATAAAAAACCCCCCCCCCCCCCCCCCCCCCCCCTTTCTTTTTTTTTTTTTTTTTTTTTTTTTTTTTTTTTTTTTTTTTTTTTAAAAAAAAATTTTTTTTTTTTTTTTTTTTTTTTTTTTTTTTTTTTTAAAAAAAATTTTTTTTTTTTTTTTTTTTTTTTTTTTTTTTTTTTTTTTTTTTTTTTTTTTTTTTTTTTTTTTTTTTTTTTTTTTTTTTTTTTTTTTTTTTTTTTTTTTTTTTTTTTTTTTTTTTTTTTTTTTTTTACCCATGTCCTGATCCATTTCATCGAAATACATTACATTCCTTTCTTTGGGCTTAATTTTTTTCCGTAAACTGAGTGTGGTGTCTGTAGTAATTGAAGACAGGGTTCAACATTAAAATAGAATAAAATTAACGTTTATAAATACGGTCTTTATTTTCAAAAGTAACATAACGTTGTAACTTCATAGCTAACTATAAACGAAACAAAAAATCTTATAACTCCTTAAATACAGAATACTATTTCACCCAGTCCGGCAGTGTCTTGAGGTCAGGCCATATGACAGGTGCGTACACATAAGAACAAAACCATGTTACTATGATCGTAGCAATTGTTGGTACTAATCCGGCTTTTATCTGTTAAAACAGTTTTTTTTTTCAGAAATTACATTATTTTTCAATTCTACTCGCTAAAATGCATAAATATCTTGAACCTTTCTAATAACTTTACATTATTTTAAAACGTACTATGTATTTTTTTTATTTATCAGGGCAAAAAAAGTGAAATATTTCTAAAATCAATTTAACGTTAACCAATTCTATGAAACCAATATATTTTAACAAAGCATATTACATGGCATAGCAATTAATGGCAAACTGCTAAATACCTAACTTAAGATACGCTGATGACACGATCGTAATCGCAGAGAGCCTCGATGGTCTACAGACTTAAGTCAATTTAGTCATTCTGAATTTGGTATTGCATTAACGCGAAAAAGTCAAAATATATGACAATAAGCCAAACACCGGAGCTTTTCACGCAACGTATACACCTCAACAATCAGACCTTGAAACATGTCTCGAAAATACGATATCTAGGCACAGTGATTGATGAAAATGGTGACCATAACATCTAAATACGTTGCAGAATTGAACAAGCGCGGATCGCCTTTTAAAAACTAAAGAAATACAACCGTGCTGGACAGAATGCAGAAGAACAAAGAAGTGCTTATGACGGTTAAGAAAAAGAAACTTGAGTATTTCGGACACGTTTTACGTTAAACCAAAAAATAAGAGCTCCTTCAACTAATCATATAAGGCAAAGTGGCAGGTAGAAGGAGACCTGGAAGCAGACGCACGTCTAAGTTGAAAAACTTAAGACAATGGTTTCGTCAAAGCACCAAGTCATTGTGTATCCAAAATTAAGGCGCCTACTGATACTACTAATGATGATCGCCAACTTTCGCAAGGAGATGGCACTATAAAAAGAAGATATTACATGGATAGTCACGCCTTCGAATATTGTATTTTACGAAATTAATTTACTCTGAATTTCGTTAAAGACCTTTTAATAATGTTTTATGGGAAGTAGGTGAAAAACCTCTAGCAACCAAATCATTGTTTAAGTGATCATCAAATTTATAACTTTGAAACGTAACTCAAAGGTGGCTACTATTAACCATTATAGTATATATAATGCCAAAAAATCATGGGCACTACAAAGTTAGGTTTTCTCTATCTATCTTTGTTTTTATTGATAATTTTTCCGTAAACACACTGTAAATTTGGGTCTAAGAGTGAATATAACGCGCTCAGTATGACTCCCGTATTTGTCGACTCTTGAATCTTACCCGGATTTGATTAAAAAGAAGCTCATTGTCCAAATAAATAGGTAAATCCGATGTACATTCCGTATAACGCGCGCCCAGCCACTAATGCCGATAGTTAATTTACAAAAGTGTTTTATTATAAAAGGAACAAACCATTTGTTTCGTTTGAATTTTGGCAGCGCTTTGAACAACGAGATTGCCAGGCGTCCCCACGGGGAGCAAAAAACAGTAGGACGCAGTGTATCCTGCTGCTATACAGTACCAAAGCGGGTTTTGGTCTATTTGTTTTGCCTGAAATTAATACGTTTTATTCAATAGGCATTACTTTAAGTCTGGTAATAATGCCTTTTTGTAATTATCTACAAAATTTAGGCAAAGTAAATTAACAGGAGTTAATACAACAAACTTTTACTTCCTTTTGTATGGATTGGACGAAATTTCTGTCTTCGGCTAAATTCGAAAAAAAATTAAAAACCTTTTAACAGCATTTTTAGTTCTAAACTTAATCTGTAAATATTAAATAACACTATAATTGTAAACTAACCAATTGCATAAAAATGGGCGCAAACACATTCACGATAGCAACATTGGACGCAAAATTTGTGAAGAATATAACGACTATGATAATAATGAGTAATATTAAAACATTCGGAAGTGATTTTAGATTCGATAGCGTTTCCCCGATTTTTTCGTTTAGACCGGATTTTTTGGCCGCTTCAGATAAAGCGAAGCCTCCTCCTGCGAAAAATACATAAATCACTTTGGGAAATTGTACAAGTATTAAATAGGTATTATTTATTTATTTGAACTATCAAATAATACCCAAAAAGTTTAAGTATATGAGAAAAATATTTATCGTCATCGGGAAATCTAATCAGCTCACAGCTGGAATAATAAATGGACATGGAGACCAATCTGTAAACGTTGCTTAATACGATTTACGTTACAAGAATGTTTAAATTATTCATGTACTACTACGTCTCTAGAATTTAAAAAAGTCTTAATCTACGATTTAACACCTTTGGATTTTTTTCATTTGGAAAAAGTCTAGAAAAAACCACTTACAGATGTATTCTCAAAAATAAACGAACCCAAATTATTAGGTACATATGAAATAGGCGTTTTGTATTGATTGAACAAAAAGACGATTTTTTTAAATGGAATATATTATTTAATTAATCAAAGTATGTACCGATGCTATCTATTTTACTACTATACTTTTGCCATCTTATAGGTAGTTCTTTATTGATAAACTCACTAGAAAAACATTCGGACGGAATCAATTAAATCTTTGAAGGCGGTTTCGACTGCCCCATCAGAGTTAAATTTTTACCTTGCAAGAAATTATCCAAATTTCGAAAAAATTAACATTGTAATCTGTTAGAGCATGGTCCAGGGAGTACGGTAGATGTCTTAGACATTCCAATTGAAACTCCTCTAATTTGGTAGCAGTCTGTTGTGCAGTGTGTGGTCTAGCGTTATAAAGAAGCAGTGGCCTAGAGCGATTGACCAGCCTTGGTTGTTTAGCAGCTAAATTTTCTATTATGCTTTGAAGTTGCTGACAATAGACATCTGCCATAATCATCTGACCAGATTAAAAAAACACTAGCACTAGTCCACCAAACGCTCACAGTAACTTTTTCGGAGTAAGTTTTCGCTTGGGGCACAATTCAGAGGTTCAGCCATTGCGATGAGCGCTTCCGATAATTGAACAGGATCCTCTTTTCATCACAGGTAAGGAGTCGACTTTGAAAAAAAATAAAAAATTGATATACCGGTTGAGAAATGTAAAGCAGCAGTCACGCGCGTTTCTCGATTTGCTTCACTGAATTCGTGAGGTACCCATCTTTCCAAGTTTTTTCACCTTCACACTTACATAATTTGCTTCAAGTGGATTAATACAGTTTTACTAACACCCTGCAGCTAACAACTCAGGCATAGTATGCGATGGATCCGCTACCACAACATTCAATTCTTCGCTATAATCTTTGTCCGGCCGGGCACGAGGCCTGTTCTGAAGGTCGAAAATTCCCAGAACGAAAACATTCGGACCAAAAACGAACTGTGTTTTCTTATGTGACACCGCCGCCATACACATCATTAATCCTTCGAGCCGTTTCTGCAGCACTGGCGTCACGGTGGAACTCATACTTTTAAATAATGCGATGTTTCATCTTTTACATTTTATAAATGTAGTGACGTAAAGAAATAAAAAAATAAAACGGGAAAATGAAATCAATCATGGTTTTCGAAAAATAAATGCACGAGTAAATAGCTGTAAATAATTAAAATTGTTATTCCTAACCAAAGAAAAGATATTTGAGGTCAAAGTGGCTAGTAAGACAAAACACCCATTTCATATTATGTAAGCATCCAATGTAAGAATTGTGTCACTAACATATCGGAGTTGTACCCATCTCTTAATATTTTATAAAATGTTTACAAACCCAATAAAAATGAAAAGCTGTACGGCATGACGCTGACAATCTTAGGCCAACTTAATACTGATTCCACGCTTTTTGTTGGAAGCTCTTCGTGAACTGTAGTATAAAAATTTGTAATACATAAATCCTTTAAAGAAAAAACGTTTTAACCGGATTAAAGTTATGTATTATTATAAATTTACAATTATTTAACATAATGGTCACCGTGACCACTGACCACGCACGCTGTAAAGCACGCGAAACGTCGGATAAATTTAAAATTATGTTAAATAATTGTAAATTTATAATAATACATAACTTTAATCCGGTTAAAACGTTTTTTCTTTAAATGTGTAAAGGTTATGTCAATCAAAGACAATACTACATAGATCCTTATCTAAGAGCCTCCATCGGGTTCTTTGAAACTTCCTATAGTGACAGCTGACTTGATTTCAATTTAACAAAATTTATGGATATTGAAAACTACATTGAATAGTCCGAATCAAAATCGCTATAAGAAGTTATGGAGTACCAGCCGGAGTATGCAAAAAATATTGCCTTCAATTTACTAAATTTTTCATTCAGTTTCATTTGATGGCATTTACCATATTTGTTAGACAGATATGATTAAAGTAATAGTACTTGACTCTATAGCGAGGTGATTTTTTGGAAGATTATTTTTACGCACTTACTTCTTCAAGGGAGACCCAGGTAGTACAAAAATTCAATGCAATAATAATATGAATATTGGTAGATGAATATTGCCAAAGAGACTTACACCTAGCGCTAAAGTTTTTGAAGAAATCTAATGTAGATGGTAATAAGAACATCAAAAACATCACAAGTGACGCTAATGCTGAATCACGAACGCTGAAATTAAAAATCCCTTATTAATTAATAAAAGTTCATTTGTTTTAATTAAATCATTCGTCTACGTAGACAGTGCTTTTATTAAGCGGCCAATTTAATTTTGTCCGTCTACAATTACTTAATTAATCACATATAAATGATTATAAAGTAAGACATTTTCTGGGCTTTTTAAATAATAATTAAAACTACAACATTTAATTTATTAAATCTTTTTCGATGAGATTTGATAAATACATATTTTTATTTTGTATTGTTAATTTAAATTCTAGTTCATACTCAATATTAAATGAAGAAAAACATATGTTACAAATTTCAAAAGCTTTACTAAAACTCTAAGATACAAAAAAAATAAGATTAAAACGTATTTACTATTTAGGATCTTCTAGTTCAAAGTAATCCTTAATAGCGTCACCCCATCCGTAAAAAACTTGTGGAGAACGAGAAAAGAACAAGACCATGGCACCACCAAATAATATGATCACCATCTACAAATATAGGACATTGAAAAGTCGTTTAAAGTATAAAGTTAATTTATGTCATGTCAAACAAGATTTTAGGTTTGGCACAGACTTGTCCTTAATATAAACAAAGAGACGCAGAATTAAGTTCCATGCTCCATCAAATTATACGAGAATATAGACTGGCTATTTAGAGCAATAATTCGAAATAAAGGTATATGTTGAAAATTATCGACCCAGAAACCATAATCTAAAAATCTAGTTAACGCCTATATTGGCCTTATCTTCTGTCTCCACCCTGATTTTAACAAAATATGTAAATACACGTAATAGTGGTAGGCGCAGTGGAGCAAAAAAAAAATTATTAACAAAAACAGTTCTGTGCCTGAAGATTCTTTATAAAATTATTGAATATTCATACATTTTATGACGAAGTTAGCGTTTAATACGTGTCAAACTCATGTTATGATCTTCCAACAAGTAAAATTTCTGTAGGGGATATGAGAAAAACTACATTTACTTAACAAAACTTTTCGATTGATTTAAAGCAGTCGTGATGCGCTGTCAATTGCTTTAAAGTTTTTGAAGTTATACTTCTTTAGGCGCGTTATGAAAAATTGCTGAGAGTGAAATTTTACGATGCGCGCGCACCGTGACACAAAATTATCAGTATGAAGTTATTAAACCAGCCGGGCGCCAAGCGTGTGCGAGCGAGATGGGAATAAGACAATCTACAAGTAAAAAGAAATAGAATTTTGAATGACCATAATGACCTTTGTAGTACCTTTTAAACAAATAAAGGAGTTTTAATTATTTTTTCAAAGAAATTTAGCAATGCTTTTTCACAAAGACCTATTGTTACTTAGTAAAAGGTTATGAAACATACCTAGTTATTAAATTGAATTAATAATATAATAAAATAATTATAATTATTAATATTAATTAATAACTGAATAATATACTAAATATTAAATTATTAACGTTAAATATTTATTATTTAAAAAAAAAGAAAGCCAAAGAAGTATAACTTCTTACGCGCGTACATAAGTACACGCACCCTTTTTTTTTTTTAAATATACTTTAAATAACGAAGATAGACAATCTTTACTTACGATTTCCCAGAATGTAATTATTCCTAACTTTGCCGAGTCTTCTTTCACACATCTTTCGGCTGCTTTTATTCCCTCAGGAGTGATTTTAACTTTTTTTGCAACATTACTATACGGCCTACATTTAAAAAGTGTAATGAATTTCAAACGGTATTGTAAACGTACTAAAGCTTCAGTTATAAGCTTATGAAAAACTTTTTATACACTAGTTAGCTCCATAGTTTCACCTGCGATATTTTGGCAACCTGACGTTATGACATAACCTAAATCGATAAAATAAAAAATTAACACAACAGTTTTAAAATTCGAATTAGAAGGCACACAGATTAGCGTAAATATATATGTATAATAATAGAAAAAAAACCTGAAAGACTAACACTGTATAGTTCTGTCTGTGAGGGATAGGTGACCAAGCTTAACTTATTTATTTATTCACGCTTCGTTACATTTATACAAAAACAAATAACATGATACATAACAATTATAAGTTGTTTCCTATCTTTATGAGGAATAATAATTAAAGGTAAGTGTATATAGATACCTGAATAGTCCTAAAAATTGAAAAGACATGGATAAAAAAGTAGCAACTTCTAAAAGTATCATCATTGGAACAGCGAAAGCAGAAAACAATGGAAACGACAAATACTCCGGTGCTGTTGGATAGGTCCTGAAATAGATTTTTTAAAATGTCAGAACATAAAATAACAATAATAAATATATAATGTAAGTTATAATATATACTGTAAAAATTATATCTAATAAATTCTATACATTATACATTGAAATAACTAACCTTAACATAAACTAAAATATATTATTAAAAGGAGTCCCTTTAGGCAAGGTTCCGAAGATACTGGCAGCGTTCCCCCTTTGAATCGCTAGACTAATTCTTTGTCCGAGGTAGCTGCCAGATCTTCGGTCTCCTGTGATGTCGACTAACCTTTTTGATATTTCTTTAAAAATCCTTAAAGCGCTAGGACCCCACGGACCAAGGGTCTCGTCACCGAATGGGACAAAATCATATTCTGAGTCTAGATCCCTGTATTTGCATGCTTTAGTTTTTTCAGCCGCTTCACAAGCCGCACCAGCTCTGTAGTTGGTTCCATATAGATGGGAAGGGGCCAGCGTGTTTGAACAGATTGCATCCCATACTAGTACCCGGCCCATCTTCCATGTAATCAATCTCATACCGTCCGGTCTTTTGCCATCGTCTCTTGCAATACCACTCGGCTCAAGTAGACTTGGAACGTTGACGGTGGCAAGTGACTGGCGTATGATATCGTTAAGTACGGCATGTCTCGAGAAGCGGCCATTTTTGGCATGACAGGCCGTGATGTCCTAACTTGTCGACATCATTGCCACAGGGACATATATTTGGAGCGCAGACCGTACCCCAAGCCGTAGACAGGTTGCGATTCGAAGTGTGTCAGGCTCAAAAAAAGTTCCTGTATTTGACGAAGGGTAAACGTGAAGCCAGTAGCCGGCCTCATGCGTACCCACGGCCAAAAGCCTAGCACGCGCCGAACCTGTACGAGTACTATAACTCAAAAGATCGTCAAAAGTCAATTTACAGTTTATGTCATCCCACCTCCTCTGTGAATTTAGAGATAATGGAAAATTTTGACCTGGGCATGCGATTAAGAAAGCGTTTCTAGCTTCTTCCAAGCCAGAAATCTCAAAGTTTGAAGGGGATACCCTTAAAATTTTACTTATGAGATTTGCTGAACTATGGACAGAAAAAATAATCATATAATAATCTGAACACAGAGAAATGGAATTATTAAATTAAAGAAATGTTGCAAACATCATATTATTATTGGTTGTACATTTAAATCCCGGTTACACACATATTTCAAAAAAAAAATTTGTTCATTATGGAACATAAGATACAGGTATCACTTATTCCACGTCATTAAATTTGAAACTGCAGGCATCCCTGCTCATCGGCATAGAAGACAGAGGGTGTAGGCCGAGAGAAAAAGCCGGCGTAAAAAACTCTCGGTACTCTTTTAAAATAGCAAATCATCAAACAATACTTATTTTAAAACAAATATCGCAAATTTATTAGAAGTAGCCTGTCCAGCAGGCCAGGCCCTTTTATCAACTAGATAATCGTTAACTTTTTAGTAAGCCTGTGTAAAACAGCTTTTCTTGATTACATTTCTTAAATTTATTAAAAGGCAGAGATAAAAGAGCCTCAGGATTTTATTAAAGAAGAGTATCCCTTTTCCCAAAAAAGAATTACTAACTTTAGATAGTACGGGGAAATTGCAGCCTGCGTTTGTTCCGAGTATTAACATTGTGCGTATGTTCTATTCTAGTACACTATTTTTATATACATATATATTTTCATAAACATATTGCGAGGGAAAGGTAAGTATATTAATTTCCTTGAATTTATCTCTCAGAGATTCCCTATATTTTAAATTATAGATTGCACGAATAGCCTTCTTCTGCAGGATATAATCATACATGAACAATCTAAAAACCTACAGCATAAGTTAAGGAGAGAGAGACCTTTTTTACCAGGTCCAGATCAAGGTTTTGTAGCGTCTCTTGCATTTAAACGAGTTCGAAAATCCCGAAGGAGGTTTCACATATTTCGATTTTTTTTTCGTTTTATGTGTATATTAAGCGTACCAAGCGACTTTTAATCCTTACTGATGTCCTACGTTCAAACCTCGCGTCTAACTTTTTATACTATGTGGAATTAGCTGCCCACTGGAAGTGTTTCTGAACGAATTCGACTTTGGTCATTCAATAAAAGAGGGTACCAATTCTTAAAAGGCCGGCAACGCACTCGCGAGGCCTCTGGCAATGAGTCCATGTCCGACGATATCACTTAACATCAGGCGAGCCTTCTGGCCGATTGCCCCCTATCCTAAAAAACTAACTTTTTCATTAAACAAAACTTACGCTACAAAGAGTCCTTTAAATGCTAAATTCGTTGCTGTACCGACTAATGTTCCGATTCCACCTGTAAACATAAATTTGTTGTTTGTTCCACAATCGATAATTCATATAAAATAAAGTTATCAATAATACAGATTTATCGACCTCTTCAAATCAATTCTCTTTTGTAAATATCACAATAGTAACAAAGTCAGAATTTGATTTGAAACAAAATATGATGATGCGTGCGCTGCGTAAAGATGATAACTCATGTATGATGGTTCTTTTCCCACTTCAAAAATTCTAAATAATAACTAAAAAAGTTATACTTATATTTACATACTATACATACATACTTTACATACTTTACATACATACTTATACAGGGTGGCCAAAAAGTAAACAATAGGTAATAGTCATCACCAAAAAATTGTTCTAGGAGGTCTCTAATAACCTCGAGTTTGATTTATTTTGTTTTTATAAAATTGATTTTTTATAATTCTTCTTAAAATTGAATATATCTACATCTTACTTTTATAATATATAGATTGGTATGATAGTTCTTCTTAACATACTATTTATAGTTGTTTATGAGTGTATTCAAATAATATTAAGTGATAAATATAAATTTTTAAATATAAATTTTTCTTTATTGCCCACTTAAAAAAATTTTTACCGAAAAGTGACCTGTATTACAAGTTTTGGCGCATTTCATAGGGATTCTGAAAAGGTATTACACATGGCAATGAGTGGCTCAAATATCTTTCTAGGTCAAAAAACAACAAGATTCGGTCTTATGATACATTATTTACCTACTGTAACCAGTGCTGTGTGAATGGATAGATTCAAAAAATTGGACAGATGGCTGGAGGGTTATGTAGAATTTAATTAGACGGTAGATTAATTATTATGGTCAGAGGCAGGAATTTTGAGCATTTATTGTAAAATGTTTTGTTTCCTACGAACAACCTTTGAGAAATAATTGTTTTAATACAATTATTTCACACTTGTTGTTGTTGTAATTCTTCCTAGAAAGATATTAGGGCGACTCATGGCCATGTGTAATACCTTTTCAGAATCCCTATAAAATGCGCCAAAACTTGTAATACAGGGTCACTTTTCGGTAGAGTAATTTTTTTTCACAGTGGGGTCCGAAGTAAACAAAAAGTTATGATTTGAAAAAATGTTATATCGTTTAACTTAATATTATCTTCGATACACTCAATAAACAACTACAAATAGTATGTCAAACGCAAGAACTCATCAGTACCAATCTAGTGGATATTATGGAAAAGATATAGAATGAAGATATTTTCGAATTTTAATAATACTTAGTTAAAAAAAGTCAATTTTCATATAAAAACCAAAATAAATCATAACTCTGCAGGGGTTGACCTTAGAGACCTCCCGTGGAACAATTTTTTGCCGCTGATGACCTCATCTACCCCCTATTTGCGTTTGATCCACGACTTTTTGGCCACCCTGTATATATATACGATACTATTATATAATAAGATTACGTCAAAAGATATAAGTATATCTTTTAACATTTACTATTTATTTATTTATTAAGCTTTACCATAAACATGTTTAATTAAAATTTCCCGCCTTCTTAATAGAACATCATTGCAAATGTAATACCACTTTATATGGCTCTCTCGCTCTCGAAGGTTCTCTCTCACACACTCTGATCGTCCTCGTTGTTTCCAAGTATTCAATAAAACGAAAATCATTATATTAGTCCGTTATAACACGTGCTATTAAGTCATCCTTGAAAAATAATAGCGTTTAGTTTCGCGGTCACTTGGAGGGAAAGGCTAAATTAGCCTCCAAAAAGCTTGGTGTGCTCAGCAAGGCGAGGCGGTACTTCACTCCGGGCCACCGCATGCAACTATATAAAGCGCAAATTCGGCCCCACATGGAGTACTACTCTCACCTCTGGGCGGGGGCTCCCCAGTACCAGCTCCTTACACTTGACCGTATACAACGCAGAGCGGTTCGAATCGTCGACGACCAATCCCTCTCCGAGCGGCTTGATCCTTTGGCGTTGCGTAGAGATGTGGGGTCACTCTGCATCTTCTACCGCATTTACCACGGAGAGTGTTCAGAGGAGTTGTTCGGATTAATACCTGCAGCTGAGTTTCATCATCGGACGTCGAGACAGAATACGAAATTCCACCCGTATCACCTCGACGTCCGCCGTTCCACAACTGAGCGTTTTTCAAGGCAGTTTTTGCCGCGCACCACCACTATGTGGAACCAGCTGCCCACTGAAGTATTTCCGAACCAATTCGACTTAAGGTTCTTCAAGAAAAGAGCGTACCAATTCTTGAATGGCCGGCAGCGCGCTTGCGAGCCTTCTGGCACTGAGAGTGTCCATGGGCGGCGGTATCACTTAACATCAGGTGAGCCTCCTGCCCGTTTGCCCCCCGTTCTATAAAAAAAAAAAACCTCGGTGCGGCTTTGAATACCGGTGGGGTTTGACTTCGTACGTACTACTATTCTAGCCAACCCCGACGACGCCTCAGAGACTCGGGCCTGCACAGGATTATACGTTTACGTGTTCGTTTGAGAACACCCGTGCAGTAACCAAAGTACCTCGGCGCGGCTTTGAATACCGGTGGGGTTTGACTACGTACGTTTTGTCAAGACGGTTCGACGTATTGCTGGCACCGCCTCAACCCACGCACCCCTGCTAGTGCGTTATTGTAGATGTTGTCTTGAAATGAAACTGCGCCTTGTTCTTGTTTCTTGCTTCGCCGATTATTCGTGGGTCCCAGTTCGTTGTCGGAGGAAAGAGGATGTTGCGTAGACCTCGCCGAGCTTAAGTATTACAATAGTATACCGCGACGACAGCTACTCGACCCTTTTATTCGGCGAAGCATTTAATTCATTTATTTTCCCTTAAATTATGTACATATTTTTGTCTAACTTATATATACTTAATTTCTACTTATGAGCTACCAACAATATTCTTATTTTACTTATAGCTCATACCTACTTAATTTATTTTTATATTGTATATATAGTCACTAACACTAAAATATAATAATCAATTCCTATTTATATATATGAGTCGCCAACAACCCATAGATAATAATCTTTAATACTGACCTATTGTAGCTGAGTAAGTAACAGCGCAAAAGTAACAGACTGTTATGTCGCTTGCTACACTATCGCCATCTTTGGTTGTCTCATATATCTTTAGGAGCCTTTGCTGAAATTTTATTAAGAACAAAATCATGCATCGATATTACATTTCGTACGTAGTTTAATAATGTGTATTACAATACAAAGTATTTCTTATTTGTTTGTTTATGTCTGCTGCCAATGGGTTTTTGTATGAGTTGTATTCATAGGAAAAGATGGCGAGATATTGGTTTTCACACCTATTCAGGGAGGCGGCCAAGTCAATTGAAATATTAAGTGTCGAAAATTAATACAAATAATAAATTTCTTCGATACTAAAAACACGTGGCATTTTAATTTACAATTCGTCATTTGAGATTTCAATAAATTATTTTGCGCATAAAATATAAAATACTAATATTTCCTAAATTCTTTTTACGAAATTTCAATTTTAAAAATAAAATTTCTATAAGGTAATTCACCCTTCTCACTCTCTCTCAATCGGTCTCAATCGCTCTCTCCCTTTCAACAAAAACACTGCGCACTAAAGAAGTTTCACTTCAAAAATTTAATGCTTCTAAATTTGAATTTAGATATTAAATTGATCTAAAGTACTTACGTCTTCAAATACTTTCAGAATGGCAAAGTTGATCGGCACCATCATAGTGGTAGCAGCAGTGTTTGTGATCCACATTGACACAAAAGTAGTAACGATGCACACGGCGAGTAGAAGCCTGGAAAAGTGAGTATAAGTTAACGCCCTTGTCGTGATAACACCCGAGCCCAGACGCCCCCTGTGTGACCGCGGAGGCATCTACATCTACTACGACGCTGGATGGGTCGAATTACTAGCAGCCCATTTCGAAGACTAGTTCTCACCGCAGAAAGTCGGGAGCGCAGCCCAGGCGCTAATCTCGAGCGCGCCGTCAGCCGACGAAGAGACCATCTCTTTCTTGCCCACCCAAGTGCGGAGGGTGATGACCTCACTGCCACTAAAGAAAGCTCCCTGACCTAATGGCATCACCCACCGAGTGGCTTCGCCACTCACCCGGCATGAGTTCTTCCCGACCTCCTGGAAGGAAGGCAGGGTGTTCACAATCCTGAAGGAGGACAAAACCAGGCCGGAGAGTTATCTGCCCATCACACTGCTATCGACCCAGGCATAAATGTTCGCGAGGCTCCTGCTCCAACATTACAACAAATACATAGAGCACAGTATCACCCAGCAGCTGACAGCTAATCTACACAACTGCAGCAGTCCTGAACTAGAGGCGGCAGTAGCTGTCATGCTAGACATGGAAAAGGCGTCCGATCGTGCCTGGTATGCCGGCCTGCGCCCGCTGGTGTCGGGCAACATCCGCTTAGCTGCAGCTATTTGCGCTCATGACCCTAAACTACGCGCAGTGAGAGCTCCGCACTACGTTAGAAACGGCGCATAGCCGCCGTGACCTTCGGCTAGAGAGCATCGACGGCTTCGTAGCACGGTCAGCGAGGTGTATGTTCGAGCAGGCAGGGGTCGAGACCTACGCCTCTTCGTTTCTTTCCATTAAATCGTATTTATGCAGTGATGAAAAAAGACAAATGCAAGATAGAGAGAGAAACATAATTGGACTGATTCAATATTTTTAATAAAAGGATAAAGCTTCTCTTATCATACTTTGGATATTTGATTATAAAGACGATCGATCGCGTTAATAAAATAATATAAAATAAATGTAATCTATTATTAAATACATAATTACAACTTCAATACTAAATTTAAATAAAATTTACTGACTTACGGTTCGGTGGCCATCGATTCACAATTTTATACTAAAATAATAAGTCCTGAGTACATACCTCGTTTCGATATAACATCCTTAACAAGAAGAACACAATTATCAGTCGTAAGGAATATATAAGTTAGTAAGAAATTATATAAGTTGGAGAACAATAAGAAGGCTAGACTGATAACCTACTGATGATACCTTGCCTTACAATACGCTTACTAAAAAATTGAGGACGTAGCTACCAACAAATATAATTGGCAAAAGAGGTAATAAAACGCGTCCAACACAATCCAAGTTAAACAAAGTAGTATGTCAATCAAAAAATTAGACAATCAAATGTATAGAACTAGCGTATAAGACGAGCTACTAAGTGTACCAAAATACTTAATAGGAAGTCACATTTTATTCAGTATGAAAAGAAACTAAATTTCGTACTTTATGTGTGAATATCCGATAAGCTTTATCGCGAAGTATGCAAGCCGCTTGTGAAGGCCTGACTGCTCCACGGAGTATGCAAGTATCATACTTCCAATAAACATTATGAGGGTATCCTAGAAATTAAAAATTCTATTAAAACCTCATTACACAAAAGTCGTTTATAAAAAACACGAAATTCAATTGTTTTATCACAGCAATAAACATTGAAAAAGGTCTTTGTTTTTGAATACTTTGCTTTGATTTTGACTATATTATTATTACATTTATGTTGGATTGAAAATTATTTGTGAGGTAGCTTCAAAAATGCAAGCGGTTAAACATTCGTAGCATTGTCATAAATTATTGTAATTTAACATTTAAATACACGTTAACTTGGTGTTTTCCATAAACATTCTTGGCTTTTCAGAAATATGAAGGCAATTTGTTATACAATGAGATTTGAGCAGACGTTTATATTCTTGATTACCGATCAATTTGTAGTGCAGGCGCGTAAATTATTTTAAATTTTCAGTCTATATAGGGCGGCCTCGTAGGGATTATACTTAATAAATTATATGACATTACAGATAAGAAAAGTTGAGGTCAAAATGAGGCCATTAGCCTCGGGACAGGAAGCGCTATGGGACCGGAAGTGAGCGGTCAAAGCCTTAATGGGAAATTAGCACAAAAGCCTCAATATTTCTTTTATATTTTACTTTTATTTATATTCTTTGCAAATAGAAACTAGGTTAATATAAAATTCATAATCTACATTATATTTCTGAGTATGTGTTTGGATGATTTGAATAATAACACGACGACTTAATAATATTGCTCTTAATATTGCTAAAAATATTTTATATTCATATTAATCTCAATTCTAAAATTTTCATATTAACCACATACATTCATATACGCTTGGCAAACTTCTCCCGTACTTAACACCCCCGCGAAGGGAAATATGATAACTGGGAGAAACGATGTGATTGCCAGTGGTATGCATTCTGTCACCCAGAAGCACGCCATGACACATAGACAATACGCAGCATAATGGTGAGGCTGAAAGAGACTTTCTTAGTTAAATTTTATACATATTTATTAGGAATTATAATCAAATTGTTGTGTACGGTACGGTCAAAATTGACTTACGTCAAAAAGTTAATCAGAGAGAAAACATGGTAATTGCGTCTGAATGCCTGTTGGTCATATGCCAGGGTCTCTGAGATGACGCATAGAGCGACCCCTAAAGAGCCTTTAATGATATTTGAGAGAACTTATATAAATAGACTTTACAAATTCATTTGTTTTTATGAAGATTTTAGAGGGTGAGCCCAGCTTACGCTACAAAAAATATACCTAAAAGCCACTCTCAATCCAAAATTGTAAGTTTGAACCCCTAAGTTTAATATTTCTCACCTCAATTGCACACTTCGTACGGCAAGGAACACGTCAAGAGGAATATTGCATGTCTTAGACTACCGACGGCGGTTGACACAGATAATTATCTAATCACCTACTTGCTTATGCAGCCTCATGAGCATACTTAAAAATTAATCCTGTTAATAGAAAATAAAAAGTAAATAAATATTATGTACCTCGGCGGGACTGGTAATGTACAAAATAGGCAATAGTATAACTGGTACACCCACAGTTACTATACCACGCCAATGTACAGCTGCAAATATTTGTAGCTTTTCTGTTAATTCCAATTCGGGTTCTGGGGCTTTCCTGAAAAAAGATCACATCACGAAACATCGAAAACCGTTTTTAGGAGCATTCAAGTATTACGTAATGAATTGGGGGGGGTCCTTTTGTAAAACGTTACGATGCGGGGCGGGGATTGAATTACGAGTTAATGTTAATATTATTTTGGACTTTCCAGTACTTTACACCACATAATGGTAACTTTTAGATATAAAGAGTCACTGGGTGGTCACGAAACGTTTTACTATTGCGTAGGTACAGAAAATACGTTACGGCGCGTTATATGGGGGGGGGGGTCAATAATTTCCAAAAATTGCGTGACGTAATACTTGAACGCTCCCTATACGTATAAATTGAAATTTGGCAGGGAGGTTATTTTATTTTTTTCCGTATTTTGTAGGTCTTTGCCAGCTTAAATATCTAAGGGAAAAGATTCGGAAATTACATCTTAATGTAATCTAATAAGTTGACATACATAAGAGTCACTATTAAATTTCGTAAATTTGTATAAAATTCTAGGATTTTTATACCCGAAATTTTAAAAGATAAAGTATAGTTGAATCTACCAATACCATACCTGCTGATTAACAGATAAACATACGATTAGTGTGGATTTATTTTTGAAACAACTCGAAATAAATTAAGTCTTTCGATTGAAATCTATTTACGAAATTTCTAGTACAACATTGTACAGAAGGCAGACAGACGTAACAGATAACGATGGATTTTTGTATAGACGTATTAAGTGCCGCTTCATTGGCGTATTTGTAACTAAGCCGAAACAACGAATAGGTACGTGTACAACACATTGTATGGAAATTACATCGAGCTGTCAAAAACTGAAATTATCTTGTTGACTGTTGACGTAGGTGTATCGTAAAATATGTGCTAAGGCCTTCGTTTGAATGTAGAGAATAATATTGCTTAGGGTCTGTTTCACAATGTACGGATAAGTTCTACATAAGTTCCAAATTAGCTATTTATTACTTATTGGTAGGAAAAGCACTATTGTTGCGTTTCACGACTGTCAGATAGCGCTAATCGTCACATAAAGTCCATCATAAGTTATGAGTCCGATTAATGTCAAATAGCACAATTTATCTTCCAAATAATATAATATGTGTTGCATAGCTATTTGGTACTTTATCCATACATTTTGAAACAGACCCTAAGTATTGCTACTGTAATATAGATTACGCAACTAAGATTTTGTTGTCCTCTACATTGGAGAAATTTCCTAATATACTTAAATGACATTTGACCTTCAAATTCTTGCTATTATATCTTACAATTGGTGTTGGTACAGGAGACAATACTAAAATATATCGAATAATAAACAATACATACAGCATTTTGTCCAATTCTTATTTCCTATAAACCTACATGCACAAAATAATACAAATTTATTTTATAACATCAATCTGGACAATCTTCCGATTGATATCTGTCAAACTCAAATAAGGAAACAGCAGAATGTTTTCTTTCGGTTTCAGAAAAAGAAGGTTATCTATTTCAAAGAAAGGATTTCACTGGATTACAACGATTCCATTTCAAATTACATAATATTTTCAATTTTAATAAAACACGCACAACAAAAAAATTTTTTTACAGGAAATAGGACTTTAGTCCTTAGGAAAAAAATCCCAAGTTCAGACTTGATAATTAACGCTGAGTAGAAGTCTAGACTCTGAATTATAACCTTAGTCTTGAAAATAAAACAAATCTGTTAACAATAAATTTTAAGCTATTGCATAGATTTTATCGCGGGCTTTGAGCGCGGCGACCGAATCAAGAAAATTCCGTAACGAAATAAATCTAACACACGATGACGTAATATAGGTGCGGCCCATACGCGTTAGACGGGACAGAACGCATACTGCGTCTCACATCGGTTTAGCGTGATTGGATAGGCGTGTTAGCCTGAGTCTGCTAGAGTGGTAGATTGAATTGATATCAAAGAAAAAACTTGAATTAATATCAAAGAAAAAAAATACTGCAAAAAAATAAATAAATAATTAAATTGCATAAGTTTATAAAAAATGCTATGCAATAGCTTTACCGCGGCAGTTCCCGAGTACATGTATTTTTAACAATATATATCAACCATGTCCGTACATTTAATAAATCTTATTAAAAAAACAAAAATTAATTAATTTAATTTTTCTTTCCTCCAACTACTACTAGAGACTCTTGGGCCGTGGGGTTCACGTGCACAGGCGATACTTAAAGATTTAAGTTGGTGCCTGGTAGACCCTAGAGCTGGTGCTTACCTCGCTCAAGTAATAAGTAACAGTGAGTAACAGCTGTAAAGGTCGTAAAAGCACTCACTGCCACAGGGGCCAAACTTTTTAAATTTGTTTTAATTTTCTTATTACTACTTTTAATTTTTTTTTATTTGATTAAAAAACTTGGGCAAGGGTGGGTAGCTTAGAAAAAAGTAATAGGTCTTTTAATTGTTTTTGGTTGTTTGTGAGTTCCCGGTTTTACAAATAAATTATTAAGCGTTCGTCGAAGCAACATTATGATTGAATTGTTATACGGCTTTGTTATACTCGTATAATGGAAAAAATTGCTAAGATAGAAATTAAAATAAGATAATTACAGACTAAAGTGATTTTAAGCAGGCTATAAATGTATCGTACCTTCCGTTTACTCAGACGAGGTGGCGAGAGAAAAGTAATATCAGCAAACGTGTGCGTTTGCTTGCGGGCTGTAAGCCACACCGGAGAAGTATGGCATGATACTGCCACCTCTTTTTATTTTATGGACTATCGGAAAATACTATAATTTTTGTGGAACAAATCGTTTAAGAGTCGTAAATAATCCGACGAGTTCGACCGCCGGTACCAGCGCTATGACCATCAAAATTCTTTTTTTAATTTCGTAATAAGACCCCTGTAGTACCGCCATACTGGTACAAACGACTAACTATTTTGTGTCACTATCTCCCGGCCTATCACTCAGTCTAACACCAATCCAAGGAATACAATGTGGAAAAAAACATAGTACAGTGTTTCTTACCATGGGTTTTCCAGTTGAATTGGTAACCATAGTTACAAACATGGATGTTTCACTTTATAACAAAGTCGCTAACTTTTTTGAGTATTTATATAAGACGGTATAAAATACGTGCAAGAGGAATGTAGCGTTTTTTGCTGATAGTACCTACATGCAGTTTTAAAACGGGATTAAACGCTGTTATACCCGGCAACAGGCGTGCGCAGAGCGTAGCCCTAGCGAACTCTGAGACACGTGGCCGGTGGCTCCCGCCCAGATGTCAGTTTAGCGGGACGCGCCACTCGTGCGGACGTCAAAATTGTTCTCGTAATGTGAAACGAATACGAACAATGTTTAGTGCGATATCTGAGTTTGACGTTGTTTTGAAATAGATCGCGCGTGTTAAGTTTTCGAGTTTATTTTCGATGAGTTTTCTTTCAACCTGAAATTGGTTCTGAAAGGTAAATTTTTGTTTGTTAATTAGAGAAATACTTTGTGCTTATAAAAAGTTTAGAAATACCTTAATATGTTATTTTAAAGGTTCTATTTGTATCTATGTAACAAGTCTAATCCTTTTGAAAGCTTAATAACAAGACGACATTATTCGCTATTAATACGTTAACAAAAATTATTACTCTTTAAATTTAAGAGCCACATATATTTTAGGCAATTTAAGAATATTTAAACTTGACTGAATCCTGTGTTGCTATAATACTTTTGATAATTGAAAGAATAAAAGTTTCTCCTTCAATAAGGAAGCTATGTTTAATAGTAAGTTTAGTAATACTGTAAAAACTGATTGAAAATCTGAAAAACTAACATCAAAGATGTTTTACAATAAATTTAAGACCAAAAAATTTTTTTTTGTAGTATTTGAAAAAGTAACAATGTTCTATCAAAATAACCGCTAATTATGAATAACGAATTATGAAAACCTTATAATAAATATTATAATCACTCTACACTACTTTAATGTACCATAATAATACACCTATTTGTTTTGGGCCTTATGTAGGTAAATACAACTAACCCTATTAAAAGTCCTTTGGGAATTTCAAAGCCAAACCCTTGTTATCAAAGTATTAATACAATGTGTATTAATGAATTATTCAGTTTCAAACTTTACACCATCAATTATTCGTTTGTAATTTATAACTCAAACGAAGGGTTTAGTTCATAGTAATGTATTATAACTTCGAAATGAATATAAGGCTATGCTTCAATAAAAAGCTGTTATACTTTTCTCTAGAACTTATAAATTCTAAAATCAAAATGCAAAGTAAAGAAAACGGGTAAAATATAACATTATAAATTTACAAAAAGCAATCCTTTAAAAAATATACAGTAGGTACATATTTTTAATATGCATTTTATTATTTTGGTAATGCACTTATTTAAACGATATTTATAGGTAGGGAATAAATGGTGTCTAAGCCGTAATCAATGACGAATAAATGTTATTTAATTGTTGATTACTAATTACATACAGAACGGTACACCTTTGTAAAATGATCTTTGATCGGGTACAGATTGCGTCTGGAACTTTCGTTAGAAATCATTAAAACCTATTTCTGCGAATCTATCGCCTTTGGCCAACTTGTCGGGAACTAAGCCTAAAAGGGTCTACACACGGCATCAGTGGCGATATCGGCTCTGATTTTAGGGCCGTGTGTAGACGTTTTAAGGCCGCTTGCCTATGGCTATCTTCAGATGGCAAAAACTTGACGCGCGTTTTCAAATCGCGCGTCTAGACATTGTGGTATTTTCATACAACTGTTCACATCTCGGGTTTTCCTATTTTCCCCCCCTTTTTTCAAGCGCCGTTAACGACGTACGTCAACGCGGCGCTCAGAGAAAAAGTCTCTAGACGCAGGTGATCGCGCGTTGACGGGCGCTTTGATATTAATGTAATGTCCGTATGCTGTTCAGTTGAGTGCGCGCTTTCATCGCGATCGCATGTAATTTTGTTAATTTTCGTAGTTATATTTATAACAAACTGGGTCTTTTTTTCAAAATTGGATGAACCC